AAGATAAACCCACTTATTACAAAACAAGATATCTTTAATCTAGTTTTACTTTTAAACCTCTCAGGTTTTGGATTTTGAGTCTTATTCTTACCTACCTTCAATTCTAAATACAAAAGCAGGCACAATGATTTGGACCAAGACTAAAGAGAAACCTTGTCTTGTAATAAGGCCGAAAGGGTCTTGATGTAGTTCCATCCGCCATTCCAAATCGTTCAGTTAATTGACTTTTAGAACTGATCGAGGTTGTTGACCTGCTAGCGTTTGTATAAGAGCAAATTTATTCAATAAAGACAAGTTCTTTTCAATCACTCACACAAATATAACATGTATATATGTACAATAAACTTAAAAAAAACACAAATTCCACAAACGTAATTATTATTAAAAGAACTTGATGACAATCAAAATTCATCGTTATGGACGTGTTTATACGGTTGGTATACAATTAAAGAATTGAAAATGGTTAACTTGGCGTATTTTTAAATAATAGATATGGAAGACAAGTTTCGGATAGGCAAGACAGCGAACAAATCAATCATTTGCTTTTAAAACGAATATTTTGTACTTATTTGAAAAGAAAACAGCTGGAAGAAAAAAAAACTAGCATAAAACTTTCTCCATCAATATTATTAAATCCCTAAGGGCTGATTTTTCAATATTCAGATAAATGTTATCTGATGAATATAATTGTTGCTGTCACTGTCTTATACAAACATTATCACGCGACAGCATCATAATTATTCCCCAGATACCTTTTATCTAACCATTGCAAAATCAGCCTTAAGCCTTATACAGACCTCATTGCTAATAAAACCAAACTTAATTTAAACCGATTTAAAAAAATGATCTAATGTTACATATAGTACTTTTTTGTGAACAGTGGAATTCAACCAGCGATTCCACTTGTTTAGAATACCAGAGAAACAAAGGTACAATCAGAAATGACACTTATTTAGTGTGGCATAAGACTGGTATTTCCCAATTATTAAAAATTTTACGGTAATGTATGTAATGAAAAATTAACATAAGCATTTATATTAGAATTAGCTAATTACAACACTTTTAAAAAAATATCAATCTTATGCCACAACAAAATAATGAAACAATACAATATAATTTATAATATAATATACAATTATAAAAAAACGACTTACGAGAATTAACGAGGCATCATAAATAAGAGTCCCGTTGTGACTTGAAACTAGTAGAGTTTCTCTCAGAAAATTCACGTAAGTCGTAATTTTTAAAAAATGTAGTACGTCTCAAAATAGTTGCTACAACTACTACAAAAGTACATGAAATATTGGGTAAACCGCATATGAGCACAATCCCTCCCTCCCTCACTATTAAACATTAACTTATATTCACTGCAATAACATTATTCAGTTCGACAACAATACTTATAAAACATACGATGATTTGCTGATTGTATACAGATTCAAAAATTGAGCTAAATTAAACCTTATTTAAAGGTAGTAGGTATAAATTTCGTTCCGACAAGAACCTGTTCCACGCGTCCCTCAAAGAGCCAATAGACCACCACAGACGGGGCCCTATAGGGCTGATGTTTAGCCGGGGTTGCGGGGTAAGCGCAATGAGGCTCCGCGGCCTTGGCCTAAACAGGAGAAGGAACGGGGGGGGGGGGGTTAGTCAGTAAGAGTCTGACTGATTCATTCTCTCCCCAACCAGGGCGGGAAAAATCATTTGACGCATTTTTAGTACATTTTCATTCAGCAAATCATCGCGCAGGCCATTAACCATTGACCTAAAATAACCTAAAACGTAATTTTGTTAAGATTTTTTTTAATAAACAGTCATTTTTAGCTAGCCTCGAAGTAATATACAGGGTGTAACGATCTGCAGAATGGCTTATGTCTACGTTGACACCAGATGTATTATTTATTTTGGTTTTTATGTACGATATAAATATGTCGGAGCGACGATTATTTAAATTGAATTTTGAAGGAGGTTTTATTACAATTCATCGGACGAGGGTAACATAAATCGTACTCTGGCGGAACGTCAAACTGACAGTTCTGCGTGCGCATTATGGTGGAGAGCAAGCGCTGTGACTGTCACAGGAGACGGATCGCCGACGTCCGTTATTTTTGTAATTTATTCGGTCTGATTATAAAATCCTACGCCCTGCGATGGACTGTGAAGACGATAATCGGGATGTTGATGTTTGTACCAACCCCCCGGTGCCTTCATCAGAAGTGGGATTTGATGGGAAACCATCTAATATTCCGAAAGAACGACCTGTAACTGACACGGGATAAAGAAGGGGCACGCAGTCATCTGTTTTTCATGCCACGTTTCTACTGCTTGCTTGGAGAAGAAGATCACTTGTCATTTTAAGCGACCATACAGCTTCTGACTTTGTTTTGGAGATATCTACGGGTGAGGAAGTTCCTTTTCTTTGTTATAACGGGTTATCATGCTCCTTATCTGCGTGTTCATAAGATTGAACCAACGATTGTAGTTATAACGAGCGAGATAGTTCCCGAATTAGAGATTTGTGATTTGATGGTTGTACCTAGTTTCATCTGGGTGACGTGAGTTTCTGTGAATATAATTGTGAGTTGGCGTAACTGATCGTTGGGGAGGATAGTGACGTCCGGTCTATGTCACGTGGTGTCTAGTCGGAGGGACGCACTAGTCTGACCCAGGCAGGTGATGTGGTGAGCTGGTCGAAGGGATGATGTGGTCTTGCCGGAGCATGTTGGCTAGTGGTAGAGGCGCATACATCCGGTCCATGTACACCAATCGCTGAGGCCGTATCAATGTAGTTTGGGATAAGTTGTTTTGGAAGTAGGTACAACTGAAAATTATGATAATGTTACATGGATGTTGAGTACAGTAGCCAGGCGATGTTGAGAAAGCGCATGTTAGTCAGGATGAACGAGCAGTGCTATACACGTGCTATACACGTGGAATCTTTCCTTCTGTTCCAGAACTACCACAGAACTAGGATCGCTCGAGGACGAGCGAATGTCAGTCTGGCCGTGTCGGAGCGACGATTATTTAAATTGAATTTTGAAGGAGGTTTTATTACAATTCATCGGACGAGGGTAACATAAATCGTACTCTGGCGGAACGTCAAACTGACAGTTCTGCGTGCGCATTATGGTGGAGAGCAAGCGCTGTGACTGTCACAGGAGACGGATCGCCGACGTCCGTTATTTTTGTAATTTATTCGGTCTGATTATAAAATCCTACGCCCTGCGATGGACTGTGAAGACGATAATCGGGATGTTGATGTTTGTACCAACCCCCCGGTGCCTTCAAATATATATCGATTGTGAGTATAAATGTGGATGGATGGAGAGGGAGAGGGAGGCCAAAGAAAATATGGATGGATTGTATGAGAAGTGATATGGAAGACAGGGGAGATAGTGATAGCGTGACGGGTGACAGGACAGAATGGAAGAAAAAAAACATATTGCGCCGACCCAAAACAAAACGGGACAAGGGCAGGAAGATGATGATGTACACGAAATTAAAAAAACAAAGTTAGTATATAAAAGTCTGACTTAACGACATGTGGCTTTCTCTACCAGTCAAACTTTCTGCGAAAAATAGGTATAGGAGGCTTCTTTACGTAAAAAGCTTGGGCAGCAAGTTAAAATATACTGTTTCCGTTACACCGTGTATATTTCGTAGGTTATAATTACAAGTATGGTTACAATTATTTGCTAAGTAAATTAATCTATCATATAAGCATATAACATACTATGTTTAACATAATCGTTTAGTTTTTACAACATAACTATAGCAGCGCATGGCGATTTAACGAAAGGCCGTCATAATGGGGAAGATGACTCATTGACGAAGAGAAAACCTATTTGGTGTATTTTCTTTTAGACAATCTTATAATTCTCTCTGTACTTTAAAAAATGTGACATTGTGCTTATCTTTTGAAACAAAATTGGGTACCTACTATTTAAATAAAAGATATTTTATTTTCTATTTTTTCACTACCAAAACGACATACATCCTCACATTGTGTAGAAATTCACTGTCTATAACACAGACTAGCTAATCTCGCGCGGTTTCACCCGCTGCTCGGCTCCATTTGATCGTAGCGTGATGTTTTAGCCTATAGCACTCAGTAACATTGTAGCTATGTATCAGTGAAATAATTTTGGCAAACCGACCAGTAGTTCCAAAGATTACCCCCCTACATACAAACTTACAAATTTTACCTCTTTATAATATTAGTATAGATGATTTATTTTTTATCTCTTTTTTACCGTAAAACCGGTGAAGAGAGAGTGTAATAAGATGACGGGAAATTGTTCTAGTATCTATTCCCTTCCTCCACCTTTTATATATATTCAGACTCCCTTCTGTATCTACTAATGATTGAACCCCCATCTATTCACCCCGTTCTGAATTAGATTTGCGTTGTTATACTTATACGCGTTGCATATTAATAATTTACTGTATTACGGGATTTTAAATTTAAATCCCGTAATACAGTAAAGTATTAGATTTGCGTTTTGGCATACCAAACGGAAAATTGCAATGAAATTGCATTTATATATGACTAAAACTTAAACGCATTTAAAGCGGGGTTGCAAGCTTAAAAATGAGAGCAGAGCAGGTTATAATGCAGCAGAAGGAACTGCTAACTCTTCCTTTCGTCACACCCAGAGCAGGAGAAATTGTTACAATAATATTTTATTCTTTGGCCGTCATTATCCCCATTATATTGCCTTCTTGAGGCCCTTACACCTTTCGTTTTCAATAATCATAAATAATATTTCGAATAGCATACAAATTAACTATGAAACAATACTAAACTAATAATTTCGAGTTCTAAGGCCGAACGCACTTTGGACGAATTATAAAAACATAATCCTCATATCATAAATCTATATTGCACACAGACAAACCAGTGATGTCTTATTTATATTAATATTTATTGCCATTCATGGACACTCAAATCCGTGCTACCACACAAAAACTTAATAAAACTTAGGAATAGAACTCAGGCCCTTGTACTCAATCAACGACATACAATAACGAACCTTAACATAGTAGCGTAGAATACAAATTACTATCCACAGCGGGCTGACCTTTATAAGTTGATACATACGATTTTGAACCTTAAGAGCGTACAATTAGCTAAAACAAAGAAAATATTCCTTGGAACTTGCCTTCACTTAGCTTCGCAGGCGGTGCTGAGAGAGATATGTGTGTCTCTCTCATGCAGGGTATGAGACACCCAAAGCGCAGTAGACGCGCGGGACTGTTGTAGGTCATCCTTGCGTGCTGTCGTTCACTCCTACATGGCAGTAGTCTGTTAGAGGGACGATCACTACTTGTATCTGAAATGGGTAAGGTACTTTTTTAGTCTCAAGTTGCATGATAATGTATATCGAGCAACTCTCGTAACGGCACGACGTAATAACTTGTCTAGTTTCTAGCCACGCATCGATCAGCCAGTTGGTTTAAATTGCAGCTTTCCAAAACCATTATTTTACAGCTTGGCCTTTTTAAACTCTGCAAACCATGGTGTCTATTGGTCTCAGGCATAATTTTTGACATTTTTTTTTGTATTTTTGCAGGCGCATAGCACCATATTTGTTTGAATTTAAAGCCATTATTATTATTTATGACGCCAAAAGGCCTCGTGATCACAGGCCAATACGTTGATCCCATCAGAAAACCACTTTGGATTCCACTAACCACAACACACACGGCCAGTGATAGAATCAAATAGAATAATATCGTGAGAGAGAAAGATAGAAAGTACTTTCATTCCTTCTTTCGCTCTCGCACTATCGAACAAATACGTATTAAATTATTTGAATTAGAAATGTTCCTCGAGAAAACACAATTTGATATTGTGTGTTTAGCGGAACATTGGATGAAAGAGGACCAATTAATATCTTTTAATTTTGATAATTATATTGTAATAAGTAATTTTAGTAGAAAGTATATGTTACATGGTGGGTCCTTAATTTTAGTTAAAAATAGCATTAAGTCCAAAGAAAGGAAAGATATTGTAGCACTGTCAGTTGAACACACTATTGAGTTGTCCTGTGTTGAGCTGGATAAACATGTTGTTGTTTGTGTTTATAGACCACCTAATTATCAGAATCTTGCAGTGTTTGATTCAGTAATGGAAGATGTTTTGAAGAAGGTATGTTCTAGCCATAAATCAGTACTTGTATGTGGCGATTTTAACATTAATTTATTGGAAAACAATGCAGGCAGCATGGATCTATTAAATTTGTTTGGATCATTTAATTTAAAAAATGTTTTTCTAGAACCGACTAGGATAACACCATCCACTGCCACATGTATTGATAACATTTTTAGTAACAGTAACTATTTAGAAAAAAAAATTATAAACAGTTTACCTTCTGACCACAGTGGTCTTGTGGTAACTTACAGCACTTATTTGCCTTTACAAAAAATTCAAATAAAGTTTAGACATATTACAAATAAAAATTTAGAGAAACTCAATGATTCAATAGCAACTAAATTAAGTGTACAAAATTTTGATGTCAGTAATCCGAGCAAGTTATACGAAAAATTTTTTGCGGTGTTAAATAGGGAATTTCAAGCTATTTTGCCATTGAAATGTAAAGATATCTGTTCTAAGTTTCAGTTTAGCGATTGGGCAACCGTAGGTATTCGTAAGAGTAGAGATAAACTTTTTGAACTTTATGGCATGAAACCATTCAATTGCGACCCCCTTTTTCATCAACATGTAAAATTGTACTCAAAAACATTTAGAATAGTATGCAAAGCCGCAAAGCGACTTTTCATCAGTAATAAAATAAAATCAGCTGATGACAAGATAAAGGCTACGTGGAAAATAATACAGAATGAGACAGGTAGGAAACGATTAAAAAATTCGGAATTTTGTTTAAACACTCAAAGGGGACAGATTTCGTCAAGCAAAGATGTAGCTCAGGAGTTTGAGGCATTTTTTGCTAATATACCTGTCACAACAACTGCTCATTTAGAATCATCAGCCAGACTATCGTTAACTTTGCTTAGAGAAAATGTCAAATCATGCAAAGACGATTTTAGTTTTCATTATACCAATCCTTTAGAGATAATAAAGGTTTTTAAAGAAATCAAGATCAAATCAACTGAGGACCTTTGGGGACTATCGGTGAAAGTATGCGGATCACTTATCCGAACTTTAGCGCCGTATCTGGCTTTGATTTTCAATAAAAGTATAGATGACGGTGTCTTCCCGAACCTAATGAAATACAGTAAAGTTATTCCATTATTCAAAAATGGTGACACTAAGGAACCAAACAACTATAGGCCTGTGTCTGTTCTGCCGGTTCTTAGCAAAGTGTTTGAAAAGTTAATGCTATCTCGGATGCTTCATCACTTTGATAAACATGCCATCTTCCATCACCAACAATACGGTTTCACTAAAGGTCGTTGTACAACTGACGCCGGTGTCACTTTGATAAAGGAGGTATTCGGTGCTTGGGAGGAAGCACAGGATGCTGTTGGTGTCTTTTGCGACCTCTCAAAGGCGTTCGATTGCGTTGATCATGAAACACTCTTGCTGAAATTAGATCATTACGGGATTAGACATACTGCACTCCGTCTACTAAAGTCATATTTAGAGGATAGGCAGCTGAGAGTTCATGTAGGTGGTTCTAACTCCCGGGGCTCTGAGATAAGAATTGGCGTACCGCAAGGTTCAATTTTGGGTCCGTTTCTCTTCTTAGTGTATGTTAATGACTTGCCATTTCTATTTAAAACTGAGCCAAGAATGGTGCTGTTTGCAGATGATACATCATTAATTTTTAGAATAGGTCGACGTGTTAATAATTTTGACGAAGTAAACAGATCCATTCATCAAGTTCATAATTGGTTTACAGTCAATAATTTAGCACTTAACGAGAAAAAAACAAAATGTATTAAATTTAGCTTGCCCAACGTACACAGTAATGATTGTGACATAATTTTAAATGGGCAAAAGTTAGAATTTGTTAACGAGACTATGTTCCTAGGTATTACGCTAGACAATAAACTTCAATGGGGTTCCCACATAAAGACGCTTTCGGGAAGACTGAGCTCAGCTGTTTTTGCAGTTAGACAGATTAGACAGCTCACAGACGTGAACACAGCAAGGCTTGTTTATTTTAGCTATTTTCACAGCATTATGTCGTACGGAATTTTGCTGTGGGGTCGAGCTGCGGAAGTAGATTCAATATTTATTTTGCAAAAGCGGGCTATCCGAGCGATATATAACTTGCCCCCTCGTGAATCTCTGAGAGAACTATTTAAAACGATAAATATCCTAACGGTACCTTGTCAGTTTATATATGAAAACATTATGTACGTAAGGAAAAATTTGCAATTATTTGAAAAAAGAAGCGATAGACATAATTTTAATACAAGAGGCAAAGATAGGCTGGCTGTGCCACGATTCCGTCTGTCCAAAGTACAGAAATCCTTTATGGGGTTCTGTGTAAATTGTTACAATAAAATTCCAAGAAGTGTATTAAATCTTAATGAACGAAAATTTAAAACTTATATTAAACGCGAATTATGTAGACAGGCATACTACAAACTTTCAGATTATATTGAGGACAAGAATGCCTGGCATCATGTTGGTTCGGCTCCACTGGACAATACTCAAATATGTAGTCATTAGTTATTGAAATTCTCAAAATTAATGAAACCTTGAATGAGTTTATATAGAAGCATTCTTTTGGATTGTGAGTACGCATATGTGAGCACCATGTTCGAGACAACAAAGGATTAAAATTTTAATGATAGATTAGATAGACCATCATTTGTTCCTTTTTATTAACAACTTGTCTCTGCATTGTTCTCACATAGGGGTACAGTAATGTATAAAAAATGTATTATTTATGAATTGTAAAACAAATATTTTTTTTAAAAGAGTAACGATGGAGTTTCTTGCTCGTTCTTCTCCATTCGAAACTACAATTTGGAACGAGCACCTAGCTTCACTGACGAACAGACTGACAGACTACTATTCTATTTTGACGTTTCAAAAGTACCTATTTATGGTTTATTTGGAATAAATGATTTTGATTTGATTTGATTTGATTTGATTACGACGCAGTAAATTTATCTGTGTACTCACCCTAAGCTGGTCCTTGTGGGGTCCCAACAGATGTCGCGGCTCGGGGACTTCGTAGTCCGAGCACTTGTAGCAACGCTTCGAGTTCACACTGCAATGCAATACAAAACGGTATTTATAAGGATTTTTTGTATCGTTTATAAACATACGATTTTACTTACACATCACACACACACACCCGAAACAACAATTTGTGGATCATACAAAGAGTTGTTCCGTGCGGGAATCGAAACCGCAACATGCTGCGCGGCATGCAGTTGCCCAACTACCGCGCCAAAAGTACAGTAAAAGCCAATAGTATATAGGTACAGAGGCGAGCTGTCACAAATTATGGAAACTTCAAATACATTGTCTCTTTAAGATTGACGGTTTCAAATTGGGTATTTTCCTCGGTCAAAACTAAATTCCGTTCATTAAAATTTATAAAATTAATTAACTTCAATACAATCAAATATTCAATTATAATCGTACTTCGTTGATGGATTTGACGATATACTTAATTTTAGATTTCTTTTGGTTACATTTTAAGTAAAAACTATGCTGTTTGACCTAATAAGATGATGACGTCACATTTCTGTTTTGCATACCAAATTAACAGAACAGTTTCGTTTTTGACATATTATTATCAATAAAAGTATTGAATTTGACTAGTTGTCAAATGCCCTAAGTATAGTACAAAGATTAAGATAAAAAATAGAAACTAAAGAATTACTAAGATATTATTTATCTTACCTGTTAACGGAGTAGCTTTTGCCAGGTGGGGCGGCGGCAGGCAGGGTGGGGGGCTCGGGGTCCCGCGACGGGGGCGGCGGGGTCGCCCCGGGGGGAGAGCACGGCGTGTACAGCGGGGTGTTTAATGCGTCGAAGTCTAACGCGTCGTCTATATTCAGCACTCTGCGTTTTCAAATAAAATATAAGTCATTATCATCAGCCTAAAAGTGGTAACTTACTGAGCAAAGGTCTCTTCTCACACGGAGAAGGTTTGAGCATTAATCACCACGCTTATTTAAGGCGGATTAGTAATTTGAAACTAACATTATTTTTATTTTAAGTCCTGGGTTCCTCACCATATTTTCCATCACCGATTGTCAGTGGTGTCTTAATAGGCTTAGAAAGCACATTTAACTTACAACCGGTTTCCGAAAGGCCGATCAATGTTAAAATAAATTTAATCTCTTGTCAAGTCATCTGATTGGTTGACTGAATTATCAACAACCAATCAGATGACTTGACAAGAGATTTAACAGGAGATTAGTAAATTTTAGAGTTGACAGAGTTGGTACTTGCTAGGCTTCGAAGGCATGTGTATAAATAAGGTCTTAATCATTTTTAGAGAAGGTTACACATTTATTAATATTTTCTTAATAAATCTGTTTAGAACTTTCTTAATGAATCTGAAAGAAGCTGTTTAGTGTATGTGATTCGAACGTACATAATATATTTGTATCTTAAAAGTATCCTACTATTTAGGACTAACATATGAGCGACAATATAGATTAAATGAATAAAAAGAATATGAGACATCACAACGTCGCCAGCTTTACGAAACATAAAATTCTACCTAACCTACAAACCTTCTCCAAATATATAATACAAATAAGACCTTCTTCCTTTTTCAAGTCGAATATAACTAAATAATTACGCACCTGTTCTGTGCCGAAAACCGATGTACCCGCTCGACGACGGAGGAGACGTGTTCGACTCCCTTCTCCACACCCCATACCAGTATGCCGATCTGATACAAAATGGAGAAAATTAATATCAACATCACTTAACAACGTGGTGTGAGTGAAGTGATCGGATCCCCAATCGTCGCCCCATCCCCCTCAATCCAAACTTCCAAAGCCAAATTCAAACTAAAATTATAAATGCGAAAGTAACTCTGTCTTTTCTTCACGTCTAAACTACTGATCCGATTGCTGAGAAATTTGGTACAGACATAGTTAGTTGGAACTCGAGAAAGGATAAGTTCAGGATAAGAACATAGGATAGTTTTTATACCAAAAATCTGCAGGAAGTCACTATTCCACGCGAACGGAGTCACGGGCAAAAGCTAGTCCCACATAATCCTTAACCCTAAAACGCCTAATCCCCAAAGGCAAACTTTTACTATGGCGTTACACGTCTCCATGTGCAGCGCCGATTGCTTATCATCAGGTCATCAATCAGCTTATTAAGTACGGAAAAAATCTTGTCACTAAGGCACCTTCTTCACTCTTTTTTTTGTAGAGGAAAAATCATCAAATGACGTCTCTCGTCCAGGGCATGGTGTGAGGGAGAGTCAGGCTCTTAAAACTAAGAGGGAGTGTCAGACTCTTACTGACTAAAAGGCCTGCGTGCCTTTCCTGCTCCAAGCCGAGCCAATGTCTGCCTAAGTTGGGTCCAATCTATAGTGGTCTATTGGCTCTTTAAGGTAGTCCCTACACTATCAGGTGTAATTTATTATACGGACCTTGTGGAATGAAGAACAAATTTCTGTGCGTTTAGACATTTTTTCCATACCTATTGCTGGAAACAACTATAGCAGCTCACACATAGGCCCCATTACAAAAACAATACAACATTTTCCGTGGTGTTTGGTGACTGGGCTTCTCCCAGCTGTACAGTTTCTTTTGTGCCTTTAAGGCCTAAGTCATTCTGTCTCCTGCATTAAATTTACCGAGGGAAGTGGAAACTATTTAGTTTTTTCTTCTCCTCAAATTATACCTTCTGATTTATTTCGTTGTGGGATCCAAGACAGAATGTTCCTAGGACGCAACGGACTTAACAGTCACAATTGATCCTGACTTACAAAGTAGTGGCGGGCTTGACCCATTAAAAAATATTCTATATACAAGGGAAAAATCTTGTAAATTTGAGCACCTTCACCCTGACGTCAGGTTCCAGCTGCTCCGTCTCCCCGTACTGGTTGACGGTGAACTCCGGGCAGTTCTGACACGTGATGGAGATCCTCACGGTACGAAGAACCACTTCTGGTACCTGCAGAATTCAGAATGGGTTATTGTGACAGTCAAAGGCGTTTACAGTATAAAAAAAGCTGTATGTACAATGAAATGAATTGAATTTTTTCTATTATTTATTAATTTCTTAATATCACCAAGAACCAATTTAGTTGGTATTATTAAATATTATTTAAACCTTTTCGTAATTTATTTTTAAATTAAGATAGAAAGTAATATTTATTCTACCTATCCGGAAAGCACTGAAAGACTGCACGGTAGGCGCGGTGGCTAGGAAACTGGCTGCAAGGCAACGTGTCGCGATGTCGATTCCCGCACGGAACAACTCTTTGTATGATCCACAAATTGTTGTTCCGGATCTGGGTGACATGTGTATGTATGTATGTTTAAGATTAAATCTGTCATTGTACTGCATAAAACCGATTATGGAAGCGAGAAATAAAAGGCTTTTTTTATTTACTTAAACGTAATGTTTTAAAGATAAAAAAAGCGTCTCGGTAGCGTCAGCGAAATGTTGTCTCTATAATTATTTATTTAACGCTGATCGTAGGAACGCGTACGGTACATACCCGCCTATTGCGTCCACGCGTTCGGTGGAAGTAATTCTAGGGCAAGAAATACAAAATATACTATTAATTGACACACAAACATTCTTATAGTTAACTTTTACTTTGACATAGGCAATGTGCGCTCGCTTTGCGTAAATTAAATAGCAAAAATGGTTTGTGTTAAGCTTTAAATTAAATTTAGGCAGTGTTTTATATCTCCCTAGAAATCTACACTTAGGAACGCGCAAATAGCTTAACTAGAGGATTATTGACCGACACTGTTTAGCTCTTTTTTATTTATTTTTTTATGTCCAATAGTGCCTACAATGGTCTAGTTGAAATAAATGATTTGACTTCGATATTATTTTTTTATTTTTATTTTTTGAAATAACAACAGAACTATGAAAATAACGAGGAAAAGTGTACATGCGAATTCATTGCATTGGGAAGTGAGCGTGACCATGTGTAAGCTACAATGAGCGTAGCTAAATGAAAGCTAAAAAATGAAACCTTGTTTTATGTCCGTCTTATAAGTTATTTTAAAACATCAGACACGTATATACGCGTCCACATAAAGCGAATAATCGCTTTATACTTTCGATGATAGGTACATTATTTCGAAACTTGATTTGGTTTAAAAAAAAAAAGAAGAAAAATCCTGTGATGTGAAACCATGTTGTGTCACGCACGATTAAGTAATTGACAGCCGACAGATAACTGTTATGGGCATATCCTCCGCTAGCGTGGCGCCTGGCGTCGGCGATAAAAAAGACATAAAAAAGTATTGATCATTCGACTAGTTGAAAAATCAACAGAATCTTTTAAATCTTGTACTTCACTCTGTGATATGTGACGACATCAAATACCAAACTTGTCACTTCAAAACTTACTAGATCAATACGAATTATGGAATGACCATTTTTTGGTGATCAAATATTTGTACCTAAAAGTACTCTTTGGAACCGCTGGTTGTATTTCCAAAATTCTTTCACTGATCGATAGCTACAATGTTCCTGTGTGCTATTATAGGCTATAACTCATATGGCAAAACAACTTTGACATTTTAGTACTGACGTGTAAATGTGCTATTTAATGTATCTACATAGCAACAGAGAAAAAAACGATTGTTAAAAAAATCTTCATAATACTCACATCATAAGTCCCAGCCCAGATGATCAACAAACTCTTTCTGAACCAGACACCTTTAGGATACAGGTCTACCGTCCACTCGGTGAGCTTGTCCTGAGGAGCCACGTCAGCTATGGAAGGTCTGGTGGAGAAGATGAAGGTCCTCGTGTGGTAGCAGGGGAGAGAGTGGAAGTTGTCCACGGCGAGCACGGAGCCCCACGTGTCTTCTGTGTACAGGCGGGGAGTGAATAGCATGCGGCCTGCTTCCGTCTGCTGTATTTCTGCTACGCGTTCGAATTGGCCTGGAGAAGATAGAATGGGAGTTAGAATTGTTTTCAATCGTATTTTGTTTTTGTTTTTTTTTTTTTTTTGTTGTACATTACACACACATCGTAGTTGTTAAAGAAAAAGGTTTAAATGAATCCTACAAATTTAATAGCACGGTTGGCGCCGTGTCTGGGCAATTGGCTGCCGCGCAACGTGTCGCGAATTCGATCTCCGCATGTAACAACTCATTGTGTAATCCACAAATTATTGGGTGTTATGTGTATGTCAAAGTATAATATAAGTATGTATGTACTCGCATCCACGACATGGGAGAAAACCCTAGAGTGGTGACACGTTTCTTTTTATTTTTTAAATATGTTTGTTATTCTTTCACGCAAAAACAGCTGGACAGATTCCGTTGAAATTTGGTATGTAGATAAGTGATTCTCTGGATGAAAACACAGACGGACAAAGTCGCGAGCGGAGACTAGTTATAACATATTTGAATAGTGAAGACATTCAGTATCAGAATTACACCCATGAGAAGCCGGGGTGGGTCGCTAGTATTGTATAAGAAGTTTTACCTGATTGATAACTCATGGCGATGGCCATCCGCTCCATGAAGAAGTCTTTATGTTCCTGCGTCAGGGGACAGAGTAACAGCTTCGCCAGCTGGTTGGGGCACATCATCGGGAATCTGTTGGGACACATCGTTACATTAATTTATTGTTCATTTACAATGGTCTGTCCCTAAAACCAACTTTTTATAAGAAAATAAGCGCTTGTTGAAAATACGGTAGTTCCCAACTAGTCAAATTCAATACTTATATCCAAATGTCAAAAACGATACATTTCTATAAAATTTGTATGAAAAACTGAGTTATGACGTCATAGTATTTTTGCGTCAAATAGCTTACTTATTTCTTAAAAAATAGCTAAAAAATTTCGAAACTTCAGTGTATCGATAGATCGATGAATAAAAGTATAGTTATTTTTCAATATTTTATTGTATTGAAACGTCGAATTAATTTATTTTTTAACTAGGAAACTACCCAATAGTAACGTAATCACGTGAATAAAATGAGAACAGCTCTACTCTTTACTCTAGTTTAGTTTCAAGTCACAACGGGACTCTTATTCTTAGGGCGACGGCGCGCAGCTAACTGATTCTCAGTAAATTCACGTTAAGTAAGTCGTCATTAATAATAAATTTGTTACGACTCACGAAAGTTACTATACAAAAGTGTTTGTTTGTTACTTCTTTGCACCCAACTTAACTTCTTGAAGTTTATAGTTAAAAATGGGAAGAAAGACTTAGGGATATATAGAAGGGATATTATCAAATGTTAGGCTGAGTATGTATGATTATTTTTCTCACGAATCTCACAGCAAAGCACCAAACAAACAAACAAAAAGTATTTATTCGCGTCTGGGACGCATAAAAGACACAAAGCGAACAATAATAAAAATAAAGGTAAAAATAAAAATACATTAAGAATAATACTACAATACAACAAAAGTAGAGGGTAGGAGAAAAATATGCGTCCGAGCACGCGAAATGGCCCTCGCTCAGCATTATGCAGACCCCATACGAGACAGTGTCGCGCCACTTAAAAATTATTATTATTAACGTATTTACAGCACATAATTACGCGGGTATTAACAGCAGACTCAGTCTGCCTGCGACCACGACCTGTGCAACCAGGTCGAAACGTCAAGCCTACCAAGGTATTTAAATAATTATTTTTCTCGTTAATACCCGATAAATTATATGTTGTCAATATGAAACGCGACAGTTTAAAAGTTAGTATTGTTTTTTTTTATGTAATACGTCGGCAAACGAGCAGACAGATTACCTGAAGGTAAGTAATCAGCGCCGCCCATGGACACCCGCAATGGTGGAGTTACGAGTGCGTTACTGACCTTTTAGGGATTAGGGATTTGGAGATTAAGGGATTGAGGAGGGATTGGGGTAGGGGAAGGATTGGGCCTCTGGTAACCTAACTCACACTTGTCTTTTATTTAGCTCACAATTGATTTTTACAATTTAAATATAAAAAAAAGAAAGAAAATCTGTTGCTTGGAACCCTCCCGTAAAGTTAGTATTATTATTAACGTGTTGCCCAATTTCGTCCCACTCTATCCAAGTAATGCGCCTTATAAGGAACAAATTTTATTAGGTTAAAGCCGCCGCTTCTAATTTATGATGGTTTAAAACCTAGCAAATACCAATGTGACTTTTTTCCAGTTATATGTTACTTCGAGGAATCTTGGACTTATAATTTTGAATCCTGTTAGAGCAAGCGGTTTAATTAATGCTCAAAATATCTCCGTGTGAGAAAAGGCCTTTGATTAGCAGTGTTATGTTAGCCTTTACTAAGTAATTTAGAAATTTTAACTCCAAGTTTCTTCAAGGTGTTTTCGTTTACCACTTATCAGTGGTATAAACTTAGTAAGTACATGTATTTTGAAAAAAGTCATATTAGAACTTACTCCAAGGAAATCGGGCATTAAACTTAGGCCAAAACGAGTGTGAGTGTTTAGTGCACTGACATTTCATACATATGCTTTATAGAAACGTGTCATTCATAATAACCATTTTTACTTCACAATGATGTATATACAATGTATGTGTTAGTCCACATGACCAATAGAAGCTTTACTTTATTAGTAAACGCAAATAAAAACTTAAATAACATAAACAGTCAACCCGCGAAACTGATCGGGGTTGCACGACAACTTTCGAGTCACACCGGAGCTCACAATCATGACTTATGTTGAAAAATCAAACTAAATAGATTATTAAATGTAAATATTATTTAGGTTTAGTATGGTTATAAGTTATTGTACAAATAGTGTTAGTATTATGAATAAAGTCGACCTGACGTGTGAGAAGACGGCGGCGACGAGTGTCTCCCAGTGCGCTTTTACTTCGGCCTCCGACAGCTCGCTCGCAGACAGCCGCTCGCGCTGCTTGCCCAGCCAGCGGACCACGAAACTGGAGACGAATAATTATGATTTTTCACACTGCTTGGAACCTGGTGATAAGTAATGGGCGCCGCCCACAACAATAAGACGAAACAAATATATTGCGGGCTTTTGAGAGTTATGGATTTGAAGGATTTAATAATGAAGGATGAGAGGGGATGGATTATATCTCCGCTTCCTTATACGGTGAAACAACGCTTGCGTAATCACGCGGCGGTTTTTCTGTGAGTCTGAGTCTGTGGTACTGGACGAGCAGGCCCAATGTTGCCACAAAATGATTAACTAGCACTTTCTAGAAGATACTTAACTTCTCCATTTAAAAAACAAAATCCTCAAGTACTATTAGTTAGTTGACCTTAAAACAGTATACTGATACATACTCATAAACGCTCATCTCGTTATGCAGAACGAGGTCGCTCTGCTGCAGCAGGTGTACGAGGGTCTCCCCCTCCAGCTCGCTGAGGTCACTGTCCGTCCACACCCATTCCAAGTTCCACTTCACGAAGTTTTGGCATGACTGTGGAATAATGAAAATTACGATAAAAGGACATAACCAATTTTTATATGGGCGTTGGCATATGTAGTTTTTGACATCAATGTTCATCAATGATTTTTGGTATTTTATATTCGTTAATATTGTTACATTAAATTACAATAAATAAAACACACGAAGAACTTGTCATTACAATACAACACACTAGACGAAAATAGTTTCACTAAACCTTTAGTCAGATTACTGGCCATAAGTGCACGGAATAAGATTTGCTATTAAAAACCATAAGGCTTTTTAATTATTATAGTATATTTATTTGAAATATTGTGTGTTTCATTATTAAGATCTATATCAACAAATATTTTTATATTTAGCGGTGACGTAGCGTCCTGCAACTCCTACACTTTAAATTCACTCTATCTTAGTACCTATCGTTTTCTTGTATGACAAGACAACAAGGTAGGTCTTTAAATTGTATGGTCTATCTGAGCGATATTAACTTTGTCCTTTAGGAGGATGATGAAGTACTGCTCTGGGGCTATTTCAAATAGTTTTTGTTAGGGAAAATCGTTGTATTGCATCCCCCGCCCTACGTGGGGTGAGAGACTCTGGCTGACAAAACTCCACCCCGTTCCTTCTCCTGCTCAAAGCCAAGGCCGCGGTAGTCTATTGTGTTTCCACCTGCAACTCGGCTTGTAAGAGCACCGGGGGTTTGTAAGAACCTATAAAAGGCATTTAACGAAAACCGGACAGCAGCGTCCTATGTAAGTCATAAGGGTTATGATAACGTAACTGACTTTATAAGTATGTACATTACGTATGGTAATATATACGGGGGTAAGGGCGGACAAGTGAAAGTATCGCTAGCTTGCAACGCACTGTTTATTCGATGCCACTGGGAGCGTGGGGTAAGCGTGCGGGGAGGGGCCACGCACACGCACACATATCTAACAGTATGTAAAAGAAGAAGAAACAAATAATCATTTTTAAGTTCTTGAATATAATGTGTATTAAGTATAAGTAAGGTATACCTTAGCAACTTCGTTATGTCCGCAGGCCATGGTGTACTGCATCCAGGATATAAGCTGTCCACGCTTGGCAGCTTGCGCTATATTTTGAGACATGTACCTTAGACAGAGAGCCACCAGGTCCTGAAACATCATTAACACTTTAAAATGTATATAGTGGAACTTTAATACTTAAAAAACAAATATGTTGCCACAAATTGAATTCGAATTGTTGTACATCTTTTAAATGTCGGACAAAAGAAAATATTTATAAGTAAGTTTATATTTTAAAGGAAATAAATAATAAGCTTGCTACTGTTATAGGATACAGGTCACTTATAACTGGCAAACTTGATGAATTGAAATGAAATGAATTATGATGATGTATAAACTACTTTTTTTTAATTATAGCTCAATTTATTAGTATCGAAATAATATTTACCTTTACATTGTACTTGTCAGCTAGAGAAAGTATTGGTAACACTGTTTCATGGGATATCCTAATTTGTCCAGTATAAAAATACCTGAAAAGGAATAAAAACATATTTATAAGTAGGAATTACGTCAATAAAGTCGTTTTAGGGAGTAGAATCGTAAAATGACTTCTGCCGCTCTCGGTGGAGCGAGAGAGGGTGTCAGACTCTTACTCCTCCTCCGCGCGGAGGCCGCGTTACATTATTGCACTTGCACCCGATCGGCCTTATTACAAAACAAGGTTTTTCTTTAGTCTAGATCTAACGTAATCTAAACCATATAGCCAGTTTTTGCATTTCAAATCGAATGTATATGAGAATATGATTCAAAATACAAAACCTGGCTCAATAGTTTAAACCTAGACTTAAGATAAATCTTGTTTTGTAATAAGGGATGATGTTTAATAATTCACTAACGAAAATTAAGTATTATACATATATTTAAACTAGCTGCTCTCGCGTGGTTTCACCCGCTGCTCGACTTCTATTGGTCGTAGCATGATGTCTAATTATAGCCTAGCCTATAGAGCTGATGTTTAGCCAGGGTTGCGGGGTAAGCGCAATGAGGCACCGCGACCTCGGCCCAAAGCAGGAGAAGGAACAGGGGGGTTTTTAGTCAGTAAGGGTCTGACACTCCCTCCCGCCCGGCCCTGGGCCTTCCTCGATAAATGGACTAATGACCAAAAAAGAATTATTCAATCCGAAATATTAATTCCGGAGATTAGCGCTTTCAAACAAACCAATAAGCTTTAGTATGGCTTTTTGCTGTTGTAGTGCACATTAGTTGGCGCCACTGGCGACATTAATCACTGTTATTATACGAATAATTTAACATTTAGGTGGCAAAACCTTAATTCCGACAATGATGAATAGTAATAACAAATTTTACAATGAATCTATTTTACTTACTTTAGGAAATGTGGGAATACTGAGGTAGCTGTAGGAGTCTCCTGCAGTACAATGCGACTCTCTCGCCACTCACTCCATTCCCGGTTCATCAACATGACCTGATAACCGAAAATTAGAATTTAATCGCTTAATCACAAAAGCAACTATTATTTAGGCGATTATTACATTTTTTTAAACTGTCAATGGATTAGAAAACCATCGATAATCATACAAAATTGCTTTGAGTTATTAATAAGAATTATCTTCTGTGTCTTGGTCACATTTAAAAACATACACATTGCGCAGCATCCAGTTGCCCAGCGAATAAGTGCAGCGCAGTCAGTGCGGCAACAGTGCAGTATAATTTTTGACTGCATTTAATATATCTTTTCGGATCTGACTGCACGGATGGCGCGATCGCTGGGCAACTGGCTGCCGTGCAACATGTCGCGGGTTCGATTACCGTAGGGGACAACTCTTTGTTGTCCAAAAAAAAAACCTACTTTTGTTTCTGTTGCAAACTAACACTGTGAAGGAAGGTGGTGAACATTCGGCGCACTGGATGAATGTTTGTCACTCTTTTACGTAAAAATTACAGAACAGATATGAATAGTAGAGCAATAGATATGTATAGTCTGAAATAATGTATAGGCCACTTTTTACCCTAGCAATGCTGGCAAAGTGGCAGCGTGGTGATTAATGCTCTAACCTTCTCCGTATGAAAAGAAGCTTTTGCTCAGCAGTGGGCACTTAGAGGCTGATGATGATGAATGCTGGCAAAATCTTATACAAAATCATTGTAAAATGAATGCTTACATAGATGAAATATTTACCTGAAAAACTTCACTGCTGGCACAAAGTATTAACCGATGTGACGGGTACCCCACTCCTCCCACCTCAAGGGTCAGATCACTCATCAGCTGCTCAGCATACAGTGTTGCTATTTTATACAGCACACATTTTGAGTTGTCCACCTGCATAGATAATGTTTCTTATTATTTAGTTGCTAGAGTCACTATGTTGTAGGCCCTGACTTCCTGATTCAGAGGTGCAAATTTGAAATCTCTTTCCTAATTACATTACAATTAGGTATATTTTTCTTAAGCATGTTAATTATCAATATCAGTAAACAAAATCCTTTTTTTTTGTGTCTCATATTAATAAAATATCAAATCTAATATTTTGCAAAATATACATCAGTTTAGTTATTTAGGTAATATAATAAATACAATTAATTAAATGATTGTGAAACTGATTCTATGTTATGGGGATATCATTGCAGTCTGCTGAATTGTTATTTTTGACGGGCTTGTGTACAAATGTAGTCTAAAGGAAGATGCTGATACTGAAGTGACCCCGCCCAAAGATGAGCACAGTATTGCATATGGAGAAAAACCTGCAAACTTTTAAAGTAGCAGGTGATGCGGGGCAAAATAAACTAATAAACTTCATGTGTACATGTAACCAAGATAGAAAATAGAAATCAGTAATTAACTGCTGCCATTTGTAATGCATAATCTATACTTGGCAGGCATTGTAAAGATTTTAATGACTTCAGCAAATTAGTTCCAAGATTTAATAAGGACAGACTGACAACCATAAACACATGACTGATTTTGAAATATGAACTGGCCTTCATACTAATGTAAGAATAAGAATACTTATTATGGACCTTCTATTTATCTTGGTCTTATATCAGAAATTATTTGGATTGAGGTAGAGGGCAAACCAGGTTACTTCTGTTTCTTAGGGAAATTGTTATAAAGTAATAACCTACTGTTTACATGCTCTACTTATTGGACAAAAACATTTCAAAACTTATAAGATTTGAATAAGAAATAAATATCTCAAGTTTCATAGTTTTTTCATTAGGCCGTATTGATCTAATAGGAGTCATGAATATAAGTAAAGAATCCAGTTTTAAATATTGTTAAGGGTTCGGATAACAATTTAGCACTACTAATGTGTTACAAAATACATTTACAAAACCAATAACATACCACAAGACCTTCATTGACTTCCACTCCATCTTCCTTTTTTTCGGAGGATGACGATACCTGACGGTTTACCGTCAAGAAATCCATTGTACAATTAACCTTGCCGCATTGAGGAAGACACAAAATATTGTTTCTTCTTCAGAAATAACACTAAAATAAACTATTTGTCACTAAAAATTCTTAGGTTTTATTTACCCGTTCATGACGTTATGACGCAACTTCAATAACTGACAACTGACAACATGTCAGTTTGTGATACTGTCACTTTTTCTTATGTAGTGGTTCCATTACACGATATTTTATACAGTGTAATTGGTACCTGAAATCACATAATATAACGATAATATTCTAAAATATAGCTTATGGCGAGATGTGGCGTATTAAATTACGAAATATATATGTAATTCAATGAAATAGATAATGTGGTTATTTTTCAAATTATTTGTATTTTCTTGAGTTTCCCAAAGAAAGAAATGCTTGGTGAGATGCTGATATTCTGAAAATTGAAACCTATAGTGACACTGACAGCTGACAGCTAATATTCTGAAATTAAACGTTTCGAAACTAGGATTACTTAGTTATTCAGCATTAATTATAATTCTCCTCTCTTATTACCGAATGCATAAACAACTAGGGCAAAGAAGAAAGATAGAGAGACTTAACAAAAAAGTATACGGCTCACTCGGCTTTGTGTTACCGTTTTTAATGTAAAATAATGTGCACTGATTTCTGTGCTATATAAGTTGTCTACAAATTAATAACCGGAAAAAAGTAGTGTAGTGTAAATATCATATCTAAATGGCCAGTATGATGGGCCTCAAAAAGAAAAAGAACATAATAATTTTGACTTTGTGCATGGTCATATGTTTCATACTTTATCAGTTGTATTTTTTCTTAACCATAACTTCCGAGACCGGTAATACCAACAGAGTTGTGCCAGTTTTTAATTTGGTGCATGAGAAAGTAGAATCTTTCACACACTTAAAATCTGAAGAGGATAAGTTCATAAACACAAATGGCTTAATTCATGGTGTCTTATACTCTCAAATGGCGCGTTATAGACCTGATCAACAAAATGAATTTAGCTGCTTAAAATCAAACCAGAAAATTCCTTTTGAGCAGGTGAATGATGACTACTGTGACTGTGATGACGGAACAGACGAGCCAAGCACAAATGCTTGTATAAATGGAACTTTTTACTGTGAGACTCAGTTTAGGAAGAAATCTGTGTCTTTCAATATGATACCATCTAGTCAAGTCAATGATGGCATTTGTGACTGCTGTGATGGCTCAGATGAATGGAGAACGGATTTATTCAACAAACTGTTATCGCAAAGTTCATCAAAGTTTTATAGATATTATGTAACAAAATGCCCTAATACTTGTTAGCAATATTTGTTATGGTTGTTATTAAAATACTTTGTAAATGCTTATAAAGTGGCTAGATAGATCTAAAATATTTAAGTTATATTTTTATTGTGGCTCGGCATTAATTTCAATTTTGATGTTGAAATAATTCAAGTAATTGAAGCTTCTGTTTATTTATTGAGGCATTTAATGTACATAACTGAGCGTTATCTATAAAATATCAATGCATATAGCTGCTGCAATGCAACTTATATTGTTGTTTTGCTAAAACAGTCATGAGTTGTTATAATGTATAGATGTACTTACATTATCATACAAAAAAAGACTGAACACCTGTATAAATAAATTGTACATAATATATGAATTTTTTGTATCTTTTTATATATAAGTACCTATTAATCAAATGAATACCTACCTAGAGATAAAAAAATATCGTCTTTTCAATAATTGTGGAACTTTGAGACACAATAATAAAAAGGTGTGCAAAAGCAGTTATTTGCTGTACTAATTAAAATTTCTAGCAGTATGTCATAATTTTACAATTTTTTTGTTCTTTTTCGGGTGAGTGAGTGGTACAACTTACAAGGCTTCTTATTTAAAAATTAAAAAAAAGAAACAGCAAAAAACTAAATTATTCCCTAAAAAGAATATATTTGAATTAGTTCTTTATTAAATACAATTGTATAAGTCTAACAAAAAAAATCTTGTAAGTACCTATTAGCAGTTAATAAGGGAATAATAATCATAAACAAGAAATTTTGATTCTGAGATCATGTGTAAAAACTAGGTAGGTACATAGGTAGTAACTAATTTGAAATAACCGCTTATCGTACTTTAATTGTTTTTTATTTATAGGTTTTCTATTAGTTTGCCACAGTACTGTAATAAAGGCAATAATGATTATAAAATCTCAACCAATCATGTCTTTTCGTCAACGTGTGTACCTAAAGTTATATAGTTTGCGATCAATGATGTATAAAACTATACGTCATTGTTTGCGATTGCGACTATTTGCGACTTTGTTCTTACTCCGTGATTTTCGACACTTCAAAATACCTACCACGCAAGTTTCGGCGGTACGAGACATCAAAGAGAATATATGTAAGCAGCACTAACTACGTTTAGTACGACACATTATTATGTTTCGGGTAGGGAAGTAGGGATGATCGACTATAATTTGGACTAAAATATCGATTCCCAAAAAATCTACTTTTGAGAAAGACGTGAAAGACACACAACAATCTCACACCTATGTTCTGATAACCAGGCAAACTACCGTCTCTTGTAAAAAAATTAATTATTCCAGAGCAGATTGAATTAAATGTTGATTTCAAAGGAAGGGTGATGTATCAATTCAAGTTTCTTTCATCACCTGGAAAAATCCATAGGGTAACGTATTCAATTAATATATCATTTTCCTTTTGGCTTTTATTATTGCCCAGACGAGTATTAACTTTGAATAAGAAAATGTAGGGTCGAGAACATTTTATTAAGATTTAGAAGAATTATAAAGAACTATGTTTATCTTATTATTTTTTTATAATTTACCGTTTAGTGTGCATTTTTTATTTATTAACATGAATCAGCATTATTTTTATATTTTACTATTTATTAGGTATCTGTCTCTTTTTATCACGTATGACAAAAAGAGAAACATAGTGACACAGCTTATCTAGAAAATTCGACAAACCACGCTTGCTCGTGTTTTATCTGTGGGCCACAAATCATTGGAAAAGGTTGACCGGCGCGCGACTGCTGAGTTTTCGAGAAAAATAATCAATTTAAAAGTTCTCGCTGTCTAGAACGTGCATTTGCGCTACAGTTGCAATTAATAAATTAATTACTAAAAATCTTTCATCATGACTTGTGATGAAGGCGTAGATATCACAAAAACTGGAGATCGTGGTGTGTTGAAGAGAATCATCAAGGAGGGTACAGGAACAGATACCCCTAACCCTGGATGTCAGGTCACTGTACACTATACGGGAACACTCCTGGATGGCACTAAGTTCGACTCCAGCAGAGACAGGAACGAACCATTTGAATTCAACCTAGGCAAAGGTACTCATTTAATTCTTTAAATAAAATTACTTTTTCAAACTTGACCTCTTGATTTGTTGCCTTGATCGATTTATCTTTAACCTATTCTATAACTAATGTCGGATTTATAAGAGTACCTACACATCTGTCCAAGAAATAATAGCCAATTAATATTTTGGGTCATCAATATTGGTCTAAATAGCTTCTTGCGCTAATTAATTTAAGATATTAATTAAACTGTGTGGAATCATATTCAACTTCTGTTAGGTACATTTTAAAGTGCGCACTTCTGCCTACCCCTTTAATGATTCAAAATGTATGACAATAAGTTATGAAAGTAAAATTGTAATTCCTTTAATAGATCATCATAATAATTGTGGTCAGAATTTAAAAAATTGCTAATACCAATCATACAGGAATCACTTCCTATTTCCAATAAGAATTTGTGGATTGCACAGCTGTTTTATTAATTTAAAATATTATAATAAGTACTTAGTTTGTTTGTTTTTAATATATTTCTCAATCTATTTAGATAGGTGGTTAAATAAAACTACAATGTTACATTCATTTAATTTTTAATTTTTATTTCATACAATTACAGAATAATAATGTAAGAGATGTGTTGGAACATTCAAATTAGAATTTCAATATCTACCTCTTTAGGAAAAAAAAATATTTTCTGGTGTATAGTGTAGTGAATGTCTCATTATTGATGTTCTCTATCTATTTGTCCATAGGGTTAGTCATAAAAGCATGGGACATAGGTGTAGCTACAATGAAGAAAGGAGAGGTGTGTGTGTTGACCTGCGCACCCACATATGCCTATGGGGCTGCTGGCAGCCCTCCCAAAATCCCACCAAACTCCACTCTGCAATTTGAGGTAAGATTAATTCTTTGAATTCAGCCTTATTTTTCAGGAAACTTATATACCAGAAAATTGTTAAGTAAAAATGCAGAAATTTATCATAAAATTGTAATGTTTGCTTCTATTAGTTCCTATAATATGCTAGTACCAAGATGACCAAGCTTTACTTGTCCTGTCCGTGACTCAGTTTTGAGAACCAATTTCAGTAATAACAATATAGTAGATATATAAATTACAATAAATTCTGTTTTAAGGGTCAAAATGTTTCATATAGACCATAAAATACATGTGTGTTTGCAACTATCATTATGCTCCATAGAATTTTAAGTACCAAGCTATATAAATAGATAAATGCTAATAAAAGCAAAATTATCAAGTTAAAACATTTTTTTTATCATAATGTTGTGTGATGATGTTGCTTCTATTGCTAGTTACATTCCACAATTGGCCAACCTTTCAAGTTGAAACAAGAAACACCTAAAAATAAAATGTTCACAGGAAGTGACTAAGACCGCATATTTATTTTAATCTAGTACATGAAAGGATATTGTGGTTCAGTCACTTTTATTATCAATTAGTTGAATAGACAAATACATTTTGTTCAATTTGACGCTGAAATCTTCTAGAATGATTGAATATCATTCTAATGATGGAATATTATTATAGTGGTTTTCCTCTGTCTTGGGAGCCTCACACTCAGACCCGTAACAAAAATGTATAGATCACACAACATGTTTTTTTTGGTGCATCAACCCTTTGCACTTTAACTGGTAGCAGCACCAGTACCAGCAACAATCCACAATGCTTGCTTTGTTTTAAATTTTTCAAACCACTATCATTTGATATTTAATATATTGTATTGTTTGGGAAGATCCTTGAAAATGACCTGTTACTTGAACCCATGATTTAAGTACATTTTCACAGATAAACATCTTAAAACAAGCGCCATGAACTTCTTAAAAGCAATCCTTTATTTTATTGTTTTTGCCACTTAGGCATCAAGTTGTTGTTTGTTGTGTAGATCGAGATGATAGACTGGAAAGTGGAGGACCTGTCTCCCGGCAAGAACAAGGGCATCCTGCGTCACATCATTGAGCAGGGAACTGGCAACGATAGTCCGAATGATGGCGCAATGGTAACAGGTAAATAATGTTTAAAATTGACTGAGCACTCGAGTCACAATTTGCAAAACGTCATGTGTTATTCCAGATTATAGTATAGTTTTTAGAAGTTAGATCTTGGTGCCGAATTCCATTCGGATCTATTCCAGTATTTTTGTGATGAAAGAGATCTAGCATTCTTTTACACATACTTACAAACTTTCCCATTTATAATGGATATTATATTATTAGTACCTACTTTGCTTACCATTAAATACTGTAATGACTTCCACCAAGGCATGCTTATGATCACAAAATAAATATGTATCTTATTATAAGTACATAAGAACCAACTTTCGCCGAGTGTCCTCTCAGAAGTATGTTCCCACATCAAAAGAATAAAACGTGAAAAGTAATTGTTTTCATTCGTATACAAATGCTGCGTTTTAGCCCATAGTGGTAATATAATACTTATTGTATTGCCGTGAATAGACTGAAATGTGATTCGTATTATGACGAGCTTACTGTGAATAATGATGAAATGGGTACTAGAGAAATTTTAGACCACTGGTATAGGGTTTTGTATCTCAGGGATCAGTACAAAAAGTATCACTGAATTGAATTTGTTTTACACATGTGACGAGGGTAGATTCTGGTATTGCTGATCCACTGGCTTTTAGCAGTAAAGATCTAAATTTCAGTGGCATTTGTTTTCCATATTTTGAAACTGTATAAAACCTACATAAGGCCGTGGGTAGAGTACGCCTATGTGATATGGGATCCCTACTTTAAGAAAGACATTACACTCTTAGAAAGTGTTCAGAGAAAAACTACCAAGATGGTCAGATTGCTTAAAAACAAACCCTATGACCAACGTCTGCACGAACTTGGCCTAACCACTCTTGAAAAGCGGAGACAGAGAGGAAACCTTAGTGAGACTTAACAAAATAATGAGTGACTGCTACAACGTTCCTGGACTTAAGAATATGTATCTTCTTAATAAAAATCGAAATTTGAGAGGACACTCATTAAAACTATGCAGAACATCCTCAAAACTGAATCCCTTGACACACTTCCTACCTAATAACATGGTCACGGAATGGAATAAACTCCCAGAAAATGTGATAAAAGCACCCACAGTTAATTCTTTTAAAAACAGACTCGACAAAATCTCTAAATCCATTAATATGCACGCATCAGCTTTCTAAGCTGCAAGTGTGTTCAAGTATAATCTATATATATAAAAATGGATCGCAAAATGTGTTGGTAAGCGAATAACTCAACAACACCTGGACCAATTTTGCTAATTCTTTTTTTGTTGTGTTTGTTATTGTCAGGAGAAGGTTCGTATCAAAGAAAATATTAGAAAAGTCGAGGGTACGATTAGGCAAAAGTGACCCTTTGATAGCGAGATAGTTGGACCCGTGCGTAGCGGGGGCGGCCGCTAGTAATAAATAAATAAAATAATAATATTTTTAAATAGAAGGAGCGAATTTGGAGTAACAGGAGCATTAAGATTGAAAATGTGACTTCTGTTCTTAATACATAAATATATATATATATATAGATAGCTATATGTACAAATTATCTCTTATATCTGCAAAATAACTATGCATTGTATATCTAATTGAATTGAAACAAAGGTACTTTTGTATGTAGACCGAATCCAATATTTATTGTCAAGTATCACAACTAAAGTAACACGATCCTGGAATTTATCTAATTCCATTTGTATCTAATTTTTTATTAGATTCACATCACCTCGCCAGGCACGATCACCTCGCCTGGTCGGAAGATCCATCTTTTCCGATCTAAGGGAACTTTAATCTCTGTTCCCTAAAACATAATTGTTATTATTTATAATAAATAATTAAAATTTGTCTGGTGTTACTAATGATAACTTTATTATTTCCAACAGTTGAGCTGGAAGGAAGACTGCAAGCTGATGGCAAGGTATTCGATACGAGAACAGTCACATTCCCTCTCGGAGAAGGCAGTGAACACAAAGTATGCGAGGGTGTCGAGAGGGCTTTAGAAAAATTCACGCAAGGGGAGAAGTCCAGGCTCACCATTCAGCCAAAATATGCCTTCAAATCTGAAGGAAACGCTGAACTAGGTGTCCCACCCAATTCGGTAGTGGAATACACAGTGAAATTGAATAGTTTTGAGAAAACCAAAGAGGTTTGGTCCATGGACGGGTCGGAGAAGATAGAACAGGCGAAGATGTCCAAAGAAAAGGGAACCAACTACTTTAAGGGAAGCAAATTCCAACTGGCAATCAAGATGTACAAGCGCGTTGTTTCATTAACTTCAGGTGAGATTTGTATTTGGTATGTTCTCAATCGTCGCGTCGTAGCATGTTGTTAAAAAAAGATAAATCAATCCTAAAGGATTTGTTAATTAATTATGTACTTAATAATATTGAATCATACAGTTTACGCTCCAGTCTTGGTAGGTTCGAAATCTAGCTATGCCAATGTGACTTTTTGCGAGTTATATGTACTTTCAATGATTATTTAAATACTACTGACAAACGGTGAAGGAAAACATCTTGAGAAAACCTGGACTTATAATTTCTAATTATTATATAAAGTTTGAAATCGCCGATCGTGGTGATCAAATCTTCTCCGTGAGAAGGTCTTTGTTCAGCAGGGGCCACTTTTAGGCTGATGATGTGACGTGATGAAATAAATTATAGAAATGGTAAGTAGTTAATTTTTTTTTCTAGACCTGACAAAGGACTTGAGTGAAACAGAAGAAATCATAAACCAAGCTAAGGAGCTTCTTCTGTCAGCGTACTTGAACCTCTCCCTAGTCTACTTGAAGGTCACACCAGCTCACTACTTTGAGGCCAAGGACAATGCAGTGAAGGCTTTGGAGTTGGACAAAAACAATGTTAAGGGTCTCTTCAGGAGAGGCCAAGCTCAGTTGGGACTTGGAGAGCCTGAATTAGCCATCAAAGACTTTGAAAAGGTTGTGCAAGCTGAACCACAGAATAAGGTAAGCTTTTATTTTAATGTCATTGTCTCGGCTTCAGTCTTAAGAATGAATTAATTAACGACATTTATTTCAGACAAATGTCCATATATTGTTAGTTACACAGGAAACCTTATAAAGCTATTGTATTGACAAGACAAAGACAATGACACAGTGGCGTCGCATAGGAACACCAGTTTATGCTATTGGGTCTAGTCTAATTTCAACTTGAATGTGTCTTCCAGGCTGCCGCTAACCAGATAATCGTTTGCAAGACGGCGATCGCGAAACAGAAGCAGAAAGAGAAACAGCTCTACGCCAACATGTTCGAGAAGTTCGCTAAATACGACACGGAGGTAACAGGTTCGCAAACTATTATACACCCACACACTCCATTCACATTATCACGATCATTCGTTTTAAAATAGTGATATTATCTTCATCAGTCAGTTCGTGGGAAAAAGAATGGTCACTTGGTGCTTGGTCCTTTCTAATAACACGCCAATAAGTTCAATATTCTAGCAGTGGAAACCAATAGGGAATGATTGTGTAGTACCTACATTCCAACATTTAAGATATCGTGTTAGCTAGCTAGCACTAGCCATAATGCGACTCCAAGGTATGCCTGTGGTAGGCAGGTAGGTAGAAAAGGTCTGTGGTCCCGGCCTGGGGTAAGAGAAAGAACAGTTAGTCAGTATGAGTAAACCTGACACTCCATCTCGCCCCACAAAGAGCTCAGAAACGTTTACCTACCTCTCCCAAAAACAGCTACGTAGCGTTTTCAGTAACAAAAAATTTGACGCTCAGCCATACCATTGTTACCATTAGCTAACCATTTAATTTAACCATTAGTCATTATCAGATTCATTCTTATATCATTATTTTTTTTTTAAATTACTATTCTAAATTTCTACATTTCCTTACCATCCAGGTGGAGAAGCAGCGAGCTAAAGATGAGATAGACGTAATAGGTGAGAAGGTAGGCGAATGGGGCGCCGGCGAGGGTGAGTGGACTGATCAGCAACGGCTGAGGAAACCCACTGAGTTCGAAAAGGAAAACCCTAACATCCTACTCTTAGACAAGGACGGACAGTTCGAGAACATGTGAACTCACCATTCACAAAATTCCAAGTGGATGCTTATATAGACTATGTTGTATGTAGATGTGTAATTATTTTATTTGAATAAATATTATGCCCCATATGAAGCGAAAAATCAACCCTGGTACAATATAATGTATGTATAATTGATTATAGTTAAGTATGTCAGTGGACTTTTTACTCAAGGATTTTTCTATGTAAGCGTCCATCTTAGAATAGATGCCTTCTGCCTCAAAAGTGCATTATATTAGTTGTAAACTCTGATCAAACTGTTTGTTTGTCTGGACACTTAATTCATAGATCTCTTCACCAAACTTGTGTATTGTATATTTGTTGTACTACTTACGGACAGTAAAATAACTTTCACAAATCGCTCATAGAATACTGATTTTCAGTATAAAATAACAACCTATTGTTGATAGTTTGCTATCTTCAGAAGAATTTCCAGTTTTAGAGAGTATTTATGAGTTTTTAATTAACATTTTTGTGAATTATCATGCTCATAAATTGTCTGCTACCTAGTATAATTTCTTTAAAAAAGAATTCCTCTCTAAGTTTGTACTATACGGCCGTTGTATCTTGGCGAGTCAGTACACAATTTTGTGCCTCAAAGTTCCATTGCGGAGACAAACGGCTAATTTCAGACTCGCTAAGATACGTCGGCCGTACTGTATGTATGTATGTATGTATGTATTGTATAGGTGAGTTAGATGTGTTCGTCCACTCGTTTTAGTTATTCCTCCGTTGCTTGCAGTATAACCCACATAATGACGTCATCAGTGTAAATATTGCACATTACATATTTCATTACCATTCCATTTTAAACTAATAAGTTTTAAACCTTATTCGTTTGTTCATAAAGTTCGTTTTAAATTTGATATGTGATGTGATTTAAATCGTTTATGTAATTATATGATATTCTTACGGAGGCTTTGTACGAGTTTGTTTTACCGCAGACACGGTTATGACGTTGAGCGCTCTGATTGGTCCGACACAAGTTAACCATCCAATCACAGGGCTAAAACGCGTAACGTTATGACCGGGTTAGCGTAAAGAGAACTCTAACTAGGCACTCTGGTTATACTGCAAGCAGTGTCATATCACGCCGAGTGTCAATTGTATCATAATAATTTTGTTTTGGTTACGAGCGGGTTTAATTTGTAGTACATTGGTTACTGTATTTAGTTATACGAATGAATTTACCCAATAAACTGATAACACACATTTAAATATTTTTATTTACAACTAGCGTCCCGCCCCAGCTTCTCACGGGTCCAACTATCTCGCTATCAAAGGGTCACTTTTTCCTAATCTTCCCTCCTAACAATAACAAACACAACAAAAAAATAATTAGCGAAATTGGACCAGGCGTTGTTGAGTTATGCGCTTACCAACACATTTTGCGATCCATTTTTTTTTATATACTAGCAGACCGCCCCTGCTTCGCACGGGTATCCGACTATCCCGGTGTCAGTCATTTGTTTTGCAAACGAACTTCCACGGCTCCGAAAGGGTTGTTGATACCCGCTATTCTCCTTTACGTTTCTAAAATTTTCTTGCGTAAGAATCTACTCCTAATAATAACAAACACAAAAAAAGAATTAGCAAAATTGGTCCAGGCGTTGTTGAGTTATGAGCTTACCAACACATTTTGCGATCCATTTTTTTATATATAAAGATGTCTCCCATAGAATATGGCCCTTGTAACATATACACGGGGTGTATGAAAAAAAAAAAGTTAAACTTGCTTTAAAAATAATTTTATTCATCGAATAAATTGAGATCAATTTCATTCCATCCAAATAGATATCAATCTTAAAGCAATTTATTTACACTATACACTGAATTATAAGAATTCGTTTTTTAGCCTAAACACTTTTATTCATTGACAGTAGGCTCAGCCTTTGTCTTATAAAAATAACAATTTATTAAATAATTCTTATATAATATGAATTTTGTACCGCCAAACGTTCAACTGATAGTTAACAAACATAGTCGCATGAGAGTTGGCCGAAATATGCTTGCACTACTTCGCTGACTGAACTCGATAGTCGCACAAAACGAAATTCAACAATTCGAGACATCATACAATAAAAAATATTCAAAGACTAGTCTGCGCACGCAAAAAAGCTCTTACCGACTTTATTTTATGGAATGTTTGGTTTTTATAGGTATATCTACGTTATAGCTTCAGTTGCCGGCAGTAAGTTTTCAATTTTTTTTTTGTTTAAAAAAATGTTAAATTTTCGTTTACTAACTACTTTCACGCGGTTTCACCCGCTGCTCAGCTCCTAAATATAATAGCGTGATGTTTTATAGCCTACAGCCTTTCTGGATAAATGGACTAACAAACACAAAAAGAATTGTTCAATTCGAACCAATTCCAATTCCGGAGATTGGTGCTTTAAGACAAACAAACTGTTCAGCTTTATAATATTAGTATAGATTTACTAATATAAAGTACCTACCTAATTTAGAAAAATAATTCATTACTAACTCAAATACTAAGTCAAATTTGTCTTGTACCACTAATGTATTCAGTCAGCTACTTTTACATAAGTTCTACATCCATGATAAGTCGTGTTGACACCTTGGAAATTAGCACACACATGATTGTACACTGCTAAACCTGCAAATCACAACACTGGCAAATTAATATACCAGCAAAAGCTACTACTACGAATATGATAAACTGTCACTACGGTAATGAGCTTACAAATACCGTAAAATGGGGTGAAGCGGGTCACTTTTGAACTTTCTTTACAATTTTAATATATGAGCACTTGACAAAATAAGATTAAAAGTATTTTTTTAATGTTCCGAGACTCTAAAGTTTATTAATAAATACATAGTTATAATGTTTTATTAACAAAAATCTGAGAAAATCGTAAAAAACTGGTCAAACCCGGTTCACCCCGTGCTCGGGGTGAACAGACTCAAAACTGGGGTGAAGAGGGTTTTAGGCTAGGGTTGTCAAAAAAACTGTTTCATATTTAACCTATCTTTAATCTTTGCAGTTAGGTAGTTAACATTTTTTTTACACATAAATAAAAAATCAAATATTTTTTTTTTTACAATAAAAGCCTCGGCCTCTGGCGTCATTGCCGTTTGGCCACCATGGGGTTTACTGATTTCTTAATGCGTCTCTGTAAAACTGAATATGAAATTCCATATTTCTCAGCAACACGTCGTATCAATGTGTTTCCAGCTGATATGTCTAGTAAAGCTTGATTCATTATGGCTATGTCATGTTTTTTAAGAGATTTCGCTCCCGGTTTGGGTCGATAATTTCTAGGCATATCTGTAGAAAAATACAATATATTTCGTAAATATATAGGTACCTATTTGAGCACGCGTGCTAACTCACTAGGATAATATTGAAATATGTATATAATATAAATAGGTATATTTTTTATAATTAGATTTTCATTAAATTTAAAAATAAGGTAGGTAAAAATAAAAACATATTATTATTTTATTGATAACCTAGGAAAGGACCCAAAAAGTAACAATAATAAAACAAAATCAAAAATAAAATAAAATAAAACCTTGGATAGTTAGCATTAAACGTGTCGACAGCCCTGATTAAAATAAACCTCTTCACCCCTTTCTTGACCCTGTACACCCCGTTCTTGAGTCTGTTAGAGTGATTCTGTTGCCCCCTTTCTATGACCCGCTTCACCCCTCAGGTGACCCTGATAACCCCGAAAATCTAAGTAATTGCCTTACATAAGTTTTTCTCCAATTATGCAAGAAAATAATACACAAATTCACTCACCTATGCGTTTTTACAATAACCCAAGAGACAAGGTTTGCTTAGAACCGGGTTATATCGGCGAAAAATCACAGAAACAAAAAAAAAACTTAAATTGCGCGCGACCAAAATACTAGTGTTTTAAAGAAGGTTTTTTTAAACCGTTTTTTCTTCCATTCTACTTTGTCTGTGAATCGTGTGTTGCCATTTCATAAAAATTCAAAACCTTCTTTGCTCAAGTTAGTTACCTGACCACAAATAAACTAAGTTTTAGAGCCAGAAAATGAATGTGAACAAAATTAGACAACATGATTCTGTTCCCCCCTAGGACCCGCTTCACCCCATTTTACGGTATATAATGTTCATGTAGTGGTAAGAGCTCCTGTTTAAGACGAAACTGGTCGGGTATTCTCGTCTGCATCTTTAATAAACTATACGAACATTATCTAATTTAGTATATTTCTCTAATTCTTATAAACAAAATGAGCGATGGATGTTTATAACATCCATAAGATGCGATCGACCTGCTTAAAAACTAAAATCTCACAAATAGTTATGGTATATCCATAACTTAAATAATAAACAAATACTTAATACATATTTTTAAGTATAAACATAAATAAATAAACAAAAATTCAGTTCTGGAGAGAAAATCTCGTAAATAAATCAGAGTTCATAACTCAGTTAAAACTTAACAATACAACTATAATAGGATAATTATTAATATTTAAAATTAAAAACATACGCTTAATCCTAAACGTAAATGTGTTCACAAAAATAATGTAGTGATACATAGATGAATAATACAATATTTTCACAAGTCTTTTCTCTTCACAATCTCCCCACAACCATTTTCATACATTTTCCTTACAATCCCACGGTTTTCCTACCAAAGAGTTTATGAAGACCTGTTGGCCCAAGAAAATGATATTTTCCTCAATTAATTAGATACTAGGGCTTTTTTACCTTATTGCAATGTTGGTTGATCGACGCTTGCCGCGTCGACTATCGAGCATGTTTATAGATCCCACGCGGGGTTTGAAACTAATCGAGTAAACTTGTCGATTTTTTAAAATTAGCCTTGAAACCGAATTAATTTATCATTCTAAATAACATTATTGATTTGCACTTATCGACAAAATACAATTCAAAGTATTTTTTGCTTGTTTTCGACACTAAAATGCGGTTAATACATAATATAGGCTAGCAAAACCACCACGGAAAAAATCTTAGCGTTAGTTCTAAAATAGTTTTGGCTACTTCCTTTAAATTGTTACGGACATATTGACCACAAGTCTTCTTCACACATAATATATGTTGGCCAAAAATGTGTTTTACGTCAACAATATACTTAAAACAAAATAAACTGTCACCTCCGAGTATCCAGTAACAACAGCTGACTAGAACTTAATCTCTTTTTTTTGTAAATAAAAACCGCTACTTTGGAGGCACTCTAAAAGTGACGAAATAGGCCTTGCATTCAAATTACACAACCTCCAAACATAATTCCGGCTTAAAATAAAACATATCCAATTTCAACATGAAGGCAAAGAATCGAATGAACCAGGCAATAAATCGATAATGTTGTAAATTTCTCTTCGTCAAGAACAAACTTGAACTTTTCTCAAGTAACCCCCCATCCACTGGTGGAAATCGTATTAAAATCAATTCATTAGTTATTGACTTAATTGCAAACATTCAAAAAAATATGTTATTATTTACCGCCGGTACTACTTAGGTTTCCATAGCAACGAGGGGGTTTAAGCTTCTTCATCCGAGGTGTCTGGCATGCTGGCTGGTATGGAGTCCTGCATCTTCTTGAAGTTGGCGAGGACCTCGAAATGCATGTGCAGGGAATGGGTCATGCCGGGCTGCTCGTGGAAGTATCTGTTCACCTGAAGAGAGTTGGAACATTTGTCATGAAAAATATTCCATTTGGTTCTTGAGTCAATGAGTTGTTGTTGAATTTGGTACTTCACAACTTAGTTTGAATTGTCATGATCGTCAGGTAAGTTTTATGAAACACTAGCGGCCCACCCCCATTTCGCACGGGTCCAACTGTCTCGCTATCGAAGTGTCACTTTTTCTTAATCTTCCCCTCTACTTTTCTAATACTTTCTTTGATAAGAACCTTCTCCTGACAATAACAAACACTACAAAAAAAGAATTAACAAAATTGGTCCAGGCGTTGTTGAGTTATGCGCTTACCAACACATTTTGCGATCCATTTTTATATTATGAAACATTGTATGGTATCATTTATTATGTCATGGAGGAATTACTTTTATATAGTCTAAGTATTAAGTGCAGTGACGTACTTAGTTGTCTACAATTAGAATTCTCATTTCTTGAATATTTACTACAGAAATATGTTTTTTTTTAATATTGAAATGTATTATTATGTATTTATATTTGAATAAGGGCTGACTTTTCAATAGACAAATAAATGTTGTCTGAGAAATACAATTTTATACCATTCTGACGCGACATCATCATAATTATTCCCCAGGTAACTTTTATCTAACCATTGGCTGAAATCTGCCCTAAGTTAACAACCGAACGTAACTTATCTAGTTCGAATAAAATTTTAACTAAGCACTGCCACATAGCCTACAATGTCATAATTGCCTTATCCAATATCAATTTCAACCAAGAAATGTATGTTTTCAGCCTAAACAACAGGTAACTAAAGTTTAAAACAAATAGCTACCTTGGCACCAAGTTTTTTAAGCAAACTGGTGAAAGCTTTCTCCTCTCTTCCGATCCAGGGCCTCGCCTCGTCTTGTACTTGATAAGGACTAACGTGGATAAAAACGTTGACGTCTGAAAACAAAGAATACTTTGGAAGTAGATCAGATCTGCGTATTATCAATTTAAAACCTTAGATGTAACTAAGTAACATAATTCTCAACAAGTCAGTAAGCAGGAAGAGTTTACGGGGAAAATGGTGGCTAGAGGAAATAATTTTGCAGACTACAAACTACAGAACACTGGCCTCTGCTAATAACTTCGTAATTTATACCGCGTACATCGAGGGATTGGAAAAGTTTCTTGTCTATCTGTCTAGGTGTCTGTAGATGTCTTCAAGGCTAGAGTGAATAGGCTCTTAATAAACTAGTGCGCCTTACCACCAACGATTGCATCACTGCTTACCATCAGGTGGGATCGCAGTCAAACACTAGTTTATAGCAAGTAAAAAATAAAATTGAGGTGTTGTTAGTTTAATAACGTTCATAAAAGTTCATGTAATAAAACCATATTACCTTTGGTCCAACAACCAAATACATCAATATGATATTTTTATTGACCTTCCATTGGCAACAGCTTAAAAGTCTCTTAAGTCAAGGGTCATAATAAAATAACCAGAAAATCGCGATCGCTTTTTTTTATGTGTTAATCCAGGTTATTTACCTATCTACATGCCAACAACAAAATAAGTCCACCAAATGAAAGAATAACAAGCAGACATCCGTACGTTCTCACAACCGCTCTCATTTAATAATATTAGTAGGAAAAAGGAGAGTAGGATGTTATCTAATTTTCCACTTACTGAGTCGGGTGAGGGTTTCGAGTAGACTGCGTGAGGTGATCCAGGTGTTCTTCCCGCCCGCGTGGCCGCCGTCCAGCCAGTACATGTCCACTATACGCTCCATGAATCTGCACATATAATATGGTGGACACTACAAGTTTAGCTAAGTGAGACTTGGCTATGAGAATCTTTGGCAGGAGCATATAGGAAGTACAGGGCATCTCGACCCTGGGATGTAACGGGAACTTGGGGAACCTAGACATTGGATTGGATTTGTTATGTCATTCTGTTTCATACGAATCAACACTTTCGAACGGATATTTAACTTCACTGACATTAGATATTACTATTTTCATTTTCCAAAAGTGTCTATTATGTATCTATTTGATAGCAGGAATAAATGAATGACTTTGACTTTCACTTTAAGTGCCTGGATTAAGCATCAAATTTTGCTTATCAATTAAAACAGATTTTCACTACCACATAAACTTGAGAACCACCCTCCATCATCTCTATCCATCTCACCTCATCATATGCGCATCTCCGGGAGTCAGGGTCTTGGTGTAGTGGAACTCGTAAATGAGCTGGTTGAGGACCACGCAGCCTTTGCTGAACCCGATCAGCGTCAACTGAGTCTCGTCAAGGGCGAAGTTCTCCCGCCACCAGAGCGGATCTGTCTCACTGGAACAAGAACATACCGTACCTAATAAAATTTTGTCAGTTGCTTCGGATAATTAGTGACATGCAATCGAATCCGATTAGGATACTAACAAAACGTCCTAAAACTTATAAAATTAAGTCATTCTACGCCCCTTATAAAATATTAAACTAGCGGACCCTCCCCGAAAACCCGAGATCACATTCTTTGTCAAGCCATCTGCACCATCTGCCGGGCTTATTTGTGAATATAAACCAGCCAGGGCACCACTCAAACGCATACAGAAAAAAACATTAAAATCGGTCAAGCCGTTTATGAGGAGTTCTAGCTACGACTGCCTCTTCTTGTTTATCACGATCCTGGCAAAGTGGGCTAACAGGTGTGAATTTACCAACATACAATGTGATTTCTTTTCTAAATAACATAATAATATTAATCGGCAGTAATTGGAAATTCTATTTTTGACCTACAGTGATTAGAAAGCATGAAATTAAAGTTACTTCATTTAGAATTATTTTAAGTCGTGTTAAGTTTTATAACATTTAATTGGAAATATTTAAAGTTTTATAGATACAATATCTACCATCAAATTACTTTGTTTAAGGCTCATTGACCCTACATTCAAATCATTAAAATGGTTTCACCTTATAATTTATTTACTAATGTGATATAAAGCACTCACGCACGCTAGATTAGTGCCATCTGTTTAGCAGAAAAATGGCAGCCATCATTGAAGATTTAATTAAAGGAATATAAAAGCAGTATCTTTCACCAGGGTGAAGTATGTGGTAAGGTACAGACAACATCCATTGGAACAAAACCTACTCACGGCTTGTGTTCAGCGAGGGTACTGTCTGTGGACTGCGAGCTGCCGGCCTGCGCCTTCGTTCCGTTTGACTTGCTTGTCTCCGCCGCCGTCGCCGCGTGGATCGATGAGTTCTGTGTATTATTTTGTAGGTGTTTTATCCAGTGCTTTTGTTGATTTTTTCACCAGGAAGTTTTTTTTCTTTCTTTAAAAACTATATGAACATCAAATGAATACTCCCGCCCAGGGCAAGGTGAGAGAGAGTATCAGACTCTTACCGACTAAAAACCCCCCTGTTCCTTCTCCTGCTTTGGGCCGAGGCCGCAGTGCCACATTGCGCCTACCCCGAAACCCCGGCTGACCATCAGCCCTGTAGGGCCCCGTCTGTGGTGGTCTATTGGCTCGTTGAGGCGCGCGCGGAACGCTACGCGCCGTACGCTTATGTCTGGTTGTAGCCTAGCGGGAAGCTACCCTTACTCGCCGTCCGCAGACCCGCACTTACAATGGCCGGAGATCATCTCTCGATGACGTTATATGTTGCGATTCATAAAAAACTATCGTAATTGACATTTCAATAAAAAGTACTGATATTGACTAGTTGACAACTACCTACATTGTATATAATTTAGACATGTACATCAGCGCTCAGGAGACAGCAGTGTTCTCGAATAAACCTGAACTTTTTGAACTGCTAACCAGTCTGCCAACTTTGGAGATTATTACGCTTCATTGGCTATTGATTTTGAAATTTGTCTTTTGACTCACATGAAGGTCTTCAATGTCGATATCCTCAGGCAGGGAGACAGGCGAGAATGCCTCTATCAGCTCCGACGTGGAGAAACTCTTTATCCTGTTGCTGACTCCTTGGAGAAGCCTATGAAGAGAGAATGTATTGTGTTATACCTAGTTTTTTAATGTCAAAAATTAATAACCTGACATATTTATCGCCATAAATATGTAGCGACATCTATCGCTCAGCATTGACAACAGCACCAATTACGTGCAAGTTTCTACATCGCGCTATAAGAGTTTTCAACACAATTAGCACCGATACAGATATCCCGACAACAACCGTCGGAGCAGTAGCCCACCAGGCACGAACACCTCGCCTGGTCGGAGGATCCTCCCTTTTCAATGGAGGATGAGGAACTTTCCACCCTCTTCCCTCATACCTCTAAAAATATATTGGAAAATGGAACTTGTAGCTCATATGAACTATTTACTTTGTTTTAAATGCGTCCTATGTATCGAATCTCAGCCCTTACGATGAAAACAGTCGCAGAGGCTTATTCCACTAAGTTGATTCACTACTTCAATAGGAAAAAGAAAGTAGAAGTTATGTTCACTAAAGGAGTCAAGATAAAATATACCTAAGGAGTTTGCAATAAGATTAAAAATGACAACAAACCTTTCGAGATGATGCAGGGCGCTATGCGTGGGAGTATGTTCCGGCACCCCAGCGTTGTTGCTCGGCACGAAGTTATCGTAGCAGCTGAAGCTCTTGTACTCTATCCTGGAACCACCGACGTACCTACTTCGATTATATAGAATTATGTTCTTTAGGACTGTTGCTATGGCAATCGAAAAACGGGCAAAACTTTTGTACCTACGTATGCATAAAAAAATCTGTTTCCGAGTTATATGTACTTTCTATGATTATTTGGACACCACTGAAATACGGTGAAGGTAAACATCGTGAGGAAACCTGGACTTAAGATTTCTAATTATAAGTATGAAATCGCCAACTCGCATTGAGTAAGCGTAATGCTTTTTTTAAATTAATGCCCAAACCTTCTCCGTGTGAGAAGAGGCCTTTGCTCAGCAGTGGGCACTTATAGGATGGTAATGATGATGATGCATTAAAATTACTATTATTTTTAATGGAATTTAAGTAAATTTCTTTTTTATTTTTAACGGCTTTTTCAATTAATTGTTTGACGAGGAACTCGACTAGTTTGAAGCCAGACTATGGGCCGCTATTCATGAGATTTGCGCGACACACGACGCGTTGAATATCGCCCCCGTTATAGAATAACTGACCCGAGTCTCATGAAATAGTTACGTTAGTAAGTATACCTAATATGACTAGATTGGCGTTGAAGAAGTATCGACTTTTCGACGTTAGATGGCGCCCTTTAATGAAACCTACCGATGTTGGTGTACTTATCGTAAATTCATAAATGTATGAAGGAAATGACGTTTTATGCTTGTTTTATGTTTGAATGTAGTTAGTTAGTAACAAGCACGACTACACAAATCCCATCCTTTGCTTACTGTTTCTCCACCTTTATATCATTCATTAATTTCTCATATATAAATGGTGTAGTCACAATATGTAGGTATACAAAAACTTGCTTGCTTGCCCCTACCACTTGCATCTACCACTGGATTGTCTCTGCTTCACCCGAAGGTAGAGTGTTAGAGAATGCTGAAGTTATAAATAAATAAAACTCCATAGAGGTTGATAATAGCAAAGATCGTATTTCTCGGAGCACGACTTACCTGGAAGGCCTGACAGCCAGGATGTGCTTGGTGGGGAAATTGTGTCCCAGCATGCGCACTGTGTTCTCCAGGTTCCACTTTATGTAGTTCCTGTTGTCGCGGTGAGCTTGCATTAGCTCCGGATAGTCCTACAAGAAAAGGCTTGTTTGAATAAGGGATTTTTTTTCAGGAAGAAAAACCATCCAATGTCTTTCCTTGAATGGGGCGAGAGAGAGTGTCAGATTCTTACTGACTAAAAACTGCTCTGGGCCGAGGATGCGGTTCTTTATTGCGCTGGCCCTCAACCCCGGCTGAAAATCAGCCTGTGGGTGGTGCACCTAAATTGAATATCATCGTTTTCATACTTGGTATTAATTTTTCAAAGGATAAACAAGCAACCTGGTTTCCTTGTGGTAAGCAAGGTACTTAAGCGTTGCCAGCCTTTAGGGTGATGAGAGGTAGTTTTCCATATCTATAGTTAGGTACTAATCTACACTAAAATGACAAAAATTGTTTGTTTGAATGCACTATTCTGTGAAACTGCTTATTTGAATTCAATAAAACTATAATTTTTGTGCAGATACCATTTATCGAATAAGGTCATTTATCACGTTACAGTACAATATGTGCTTAACAGTGAGTGAAGTAGCTAGATTGGGTTTATTCATACCTGGACATCTCCCCCGAAGAAGACGAGGGTATGTTGAGAGAGGGGTGGGGCGCGGACTGCCGGCTGGAACAGGGCGTCGTTGGACCGGCCCTCGTGGCCCACGACGCGCCGCAGACGAACCGGCAGCATGATGCGACTTCTTACGCTAATTGTTGCTGTTTCACTGTCATTCAACATCAAAAACTATGTGATATTTCTCAAACAAAATTATCGGCTGCAGTTTTTCTGAACTCATACTTCATTTATTTTTAATTTAAAACCTTCATCTATAATAACAATAGAGTTTTAAAACAAAATCTATGTACTTGTGCAAACTGCAGAATTATCTGTTCATTTATTTTTGTCATCATAAAGTTAGCACTCATCTTCTAAAATAGCGAAGAACTATATGTCTTATTTACAAAGTTAATAATTATTTACAAAAAAGATTGTGGTAATTTTACATAATATATAACATATCGCGATAGCTGTTCTCCACTGTGGTAGCAGAGATAGACTCTAGAGAGCCAAATTGGCTGATTCTGGCATATTGCTTTCGAAATGAAAATTGTACCTTGATTTTGTTCTGATCTAGTGCCTATCATGAGAAATCTTAGAAATCAACACCCATTGGTTTTATTTTCAGAATATTTTGTGAATAATAAACAACTCGTAGTAACTAAATGCATTTATTAATAAATTAATAAAATCATACAATAAAATTTGACTTTTATTATTTCCTTAAACAAATTATAATATTAGTTAGTACACTATGGTCACTTTACACTTCGACTATTTTTCTGATGATAGTATTTAGTGTCATTCATACACACGGTGATCTTAAGAGTGATATCATCAAGACAGTTCTTCAGATCCTCACGTAACTCCCTGACCTTCACTCTCACATCTTCACACATGAGGTTGTAGCACATGGCCACCAGACCCATGCCCAGGAGAACATAAATGAAGTTGATGACCAGCTTTAAATGAGAGCCACCTGCAGAATCAGCTATGTTAGCACCTGGCACAAAGTCACCAAAACCAATCTTGCACAAACTTATCACACAAAAGTATGTGGAATCCAGGTAGTTCCATTTCTCCCATGCTCCAAACATTATTGTCCCAGTGACTATGTAGAAAGAAATGACCCACAAACAGGCTGTTGATGGCACTGTAATCTTCCGCTTCACCGGTTGCATTTCTCCATCTTCAAACAATGTGTCATCTCTTCGGCTGCACTCATGGGCAGTGATGTACAGCCACTTAAATGACTGAGCTAACACCTTACCCATGTTACAGAAGTACAAAACATATATTGGTATGCCAAAACATGCATATGCTATGGTCACAATCTTGCCCCAAACTGTCTTGGGGACAATATTTCCATATCCAATCATAGTGAATACTGACAGGGAATACATGAGAGCTGCTGGAAATGACCAGATGTCTTCAGCAGACCTGCCATTATAGCCCGTGTGAATGGCAGCTGTTATGTTATTTTGGAACACTTTAAGTACTTCATTCACTTTAATCACCCAGGCAGTCTCATTGAATAAGTTGTCTGTTATAGTGATGTTCCACAGAGCCTCCGCACAGTTCTGTCTGAGTCGCCTTACTTCATGTAACTGCACATCAGGGCTATCTTTCTCAATGTGCATGAAGCCCGCCGCGCCGAGGATCGCGTAGCAAACAACAAGGGCGCCGACACCCACTTGTGTAAACATAAAAGCTATGAATTTTCTGAAACAGTCTTTTATCTTCTCTCTTGCATCGCTGCCAACTGTTGATGAAGAATCCCTGCTCCTCATGGAGCCGTGGAAACTCGCGTTAAGTGGGTGGTGTCGGTCCATAATATATTGCTATGTCAAATAAAACAGGGAGTGGAGTAAACGGAAAATATCATCACGCCGGCGTAAACTATTTCGGGACTAGTGCTGGCAGCGCGCCAATAGCTGTTTGACATTGATTACAAAACATTAGTGTAAACCTCACTGGAACGTTGACTCTGAGTAACACGAAGTAGCATTTCAAATATTGATTGAATTTTCGCGTTTGAAATCAATTACATGCATCCGAAATTATACAAAGTTATAAATTTTTCACCTTCAGGCAATCCGATTTCTACGCACAGATAGCTAAATAAAATGTTATTAAATTTGAATTTAATGATTGTTATTTGAAATAAGTGTGTCGAACCAAATTATAATAAAAAATCAATGATAAACATTGCAACTACTTACAATCACTGTCGTAATCGCAATTAACTACTGTAAACAGCATAGTTCATCACTAAGAAACTGCACTTCCATTCGTTTTGGCGATAAAATTCACATAAGCTTGAAACTGCCAACGTTATCTTACCATACACTTCCACAATCACAAAATAAAAATAGACAAATATTGATAAAAAAATGACAGCGGCGGGTAGCGACCATTGATTAGTTTGTAAGAAAGTTTTGGGTAGGTACATAATAAAAAGAAAATATTTTTAATAGCAATGGTCAACATTAAAATGATTAAAATAAATTTAAGTAAATAATAAATGCTTTTATAATTTAGAGAATATCATAATCTTTGTGTGAAAGAAAGAACTTGTTGAGTTCTAGTTTCCAATTTTTGAACGAATTTCTTCATTCATTGATTTTTCGGTAGTCTGTTGTGCAGCGTTCCGGGTTACGAATGTATTAGTATTTGTGTGCATGATATTTGTGTATTCATTTTTCTTGAAAATTTTCCGATATTGCTATCCCTTTTTAACGCTAAATTTATAGAATTGAAGTTTCGGAATGCGCAGAAAATCAAAAACCACACGTTTTCTTGGCGTTGTTTGTTATCCGGCGTTGCGTTTTTATTAAAGTTTATCATTTATTTCTGCAGTTACAAAATAAAATGTAGTGTAAGGCTACTATCCGATGCCTATACCTTTGTTTTTATCCAAAATTTGTGAGTATTGCATGATATTTCTATTGTTTTGATGATATGCCATTCTTCAATCCTCAGTGGTAATGGCTGAACAACCTAGAAGTTATTGATGAATAAAGATGGTCTAGTGTGAGTGTGAATGTGTCATTAACGGCTATACAATGACCCGACTTTCGACTGTGAAATATTGGCATTGATTTCATAGAGAGCAAGATGTTTCCTTCATAAAGCCCAAGGTCACAATGATCGCTCATGCCGACATTTTTTTTTCAGGCAATCTAAAGTACAATAAACATGTAGCCGCAAATTAAATTACAGTAGGTACGATGTTTGCAATAGCAGCGTTCCCAACACCCATTTGACACCGATGTAGACTTATAGATGGATCATACTTAGCATAAAGAGTAGTGATGGCTTCACCGACGCAGCCGGACGCGGGCTGGATGGAGCAGGCAGAGACCGTGCTAGGCCGCAAGCTGACCTCCATAGACTTGGTCGGTGGGATATACTGCACCATCTGTCAGTCAACATTTAGTAACAAAAAAGAATACGACATTCATTATGTGGATCACGAAATTGGCGATGCCGACATAGGGTACACCTGTGTCGTGTGTCGCAAGCAGTTTACCGGCTACCCTAGCTTCCGCAACCATTGCTACTTGGCTCATGTTGCTAAAAACAAGCACAAGTGAGTATTTTTAAAACTATTGCACTGTTTATAATGTCTTGTAAATATTTAATCTTATCCTTTGCACATAATTATTGTCATTCTAAAAATAAATAATCTGAATCAGTCAATGATTCTTACAGTATGATTCATGCCTACTACTTTAGAATTTGTGGGAAGCTTATTTTATTTGAGTGAATATTATATTATACTTTTGATGTGATTATCCTATTGCTGTAAATAAGCTGATTGACTGACACTTTTATGATGGTCAACTAAAATTTAGTCAGTAGCAAAGTCTTTTTCAGCTCTAAAAGCAGAATCATATGTGGTTATCTTTGTGACATAGTATTAGCATAGTTGTTGCTATGGCGACAAGCCATGTATGTATTTGCATACTTGAACTTAGATAATTTCTATTTCTATTTCAGGTGTGAACATTGCCCCAAATCATTTTCGAAACAATCAATTCTGAATAATCATATTGACACAACTCACAACTTCAAATGTGAACCTTGCCAAAAATTGTAAGTTACTTCAAAATCCAATTCCGGCTTCTCTTGTTTAGGCAGACATTGGTTATTAAATTAAAATTCAAAATTCCAGATTTCCATCTAAAAAAGAATTGCATACTCATCAGATCATACATGGCAAGGACAAGCCTCCGTACTTTTGCCAAGAGTGTGGCAAGACAATTGAAAGCATTGACATGTGTGAGTTCCATATTGACGAGCACTCCACCACTCTGTACACCTGCCCCATCTGCAACGAGACAAACAACAACAAAGTGGATGCTGCTAAACATCTTACTCATCACTTTGGCGAAGTACTTACCGATGATGACATTACTGCTTCCGATATTGGGGACCACTGCTCCATTGACATCCTTGGAGGTGTCCTCTGTAACTACTGCGACGAATTATTCAAGAACCGAGTAGAGTTTGACACACATTTCACTACAGAACATGGAGATAAGCCACTGGTATACTCCTGCAACATTTGTGGGAAACAGTATGACAAGTATCATTTGTTTGGGAACCATTGCTATAATCACATGACCAAAGATAGATTTGAGTGAGTACTATTATTTGTTGTTTCTTTTTTCCTATCTGGCTGGTTTGCCCAGTTGGGGGTGAGAGAGGGAGTGACAGACTTTTACTAAAGACTTGTTGCTTCTCTTGCTCCAAGCTAAATCATGGTACATAATCTGTAATCCTTTTATATTATTTTACAAATGTTTCAAAATGCTAAAGTCAAATATTAGAATTTTTCAATCAGGAGTTTTTTTGGAATTTGTTTTCAAAAATATGATTTGATTTCAAATCGAATTTGTTAATTTCATGAAAGAAATGAAAGAAATCTATCTTATATGCAAGGTAGTTATTTGGTCTGAAGTTATTATTAGGTTCAGGTGTAATGTATGATGTGATGATGCAGGTGTACTGAGTGCGGTAAGACGTTCCCGCGCCTGTCCCTGCTGGTGACCCACACGGAGGCGTACCACTCGGAGGGCTCCGGGGAGAAGCCGTTCCTGTGCGGGGAGTGCGGGCACGGGTTCAAGTCCCCGCGCCGCCTGAGCCAGCACGCGCGCGCCGTGCACGCCACGTGCGCCCTGCGCTGCACGCAGCCCGCCTGCCCGCTCACGTGAGGCCCTTGCTGTCGCCGCTAGCCCGCCGCCCGCGCCGGCCCCACTCACGCAATGCTTGTGCGGCAGGTTCGAGTCCCTGAAGGAGCTGCTGCTGCACCAGCGCTCGCATCGCGCGCGGCGCGGCCCGTGGTGCCGCCAGTGCGGCCTGCAGTTCACGACGCTGTGGTCGTGCGAGCGCCACCTGGACGTGCACCGCAAGAAGAGCTACGCGTGCCCCGTGTGCGGGCGGACGTACCGCGAGAAGTACCTCATCCTGAAGCACATCCCGTCGCACTTCGAGTCCGTGCTGCACGTGTGCAAGGTGTGCGGCAAGGTGTTCTCCCTGCGCAGTCGCCTCGTGCAGCACTCCAAGACGCACTCCGACCTGCGCGCCTACAAGTGCTCCGTCTGCAACAAGGGCTTCATGAAGGCCTCCGTCCTCGAGCAGCACCTCAACATCCACACCGGCTTCCGCCCCTACAAGTGCACCGTCTGCCCCAAGACGTTCGCGAGTCACCCCAACTGGTACAAACACCTGCGCCGCGTTCACAACGTCGACAAAGAAGACATCAAGAACAGTAAAGACAACCAGAACAAAACTATCACTGCTACTGAACCGTCTCCCGCTACAGTAAACGACACTACCGATGCCAAAATGAAAATCGAATCAGGAATCGATTCTACCAGTTCAGAAATGTCTATAGAGACAAACTGTTTCATGGAGTCAGACGATAGTACGATGGATAGCCTCGATCCGACAATTATTGAGAAAGATTGGTGTGTCTCAAATGAAAACTTCAAAATAGAAAATTTACAAGAAAATGTTCAGTATACAGATATGCTGCCAATAAATAATACTACATTTGACTTCGGTGAGTGGCTGTCTCCTTTCTCGAGGTTCCTAGAGTGAAAGTTAGGGTCGACATACTGACTGACAGTTTGGTGTTGTATTGCAGATGTATCTCAGCTGGACAGCCTGGTGGCGGAGTACAGCGCGGTGGCGGCGGCGCCGACCGGGGCCGTCGAGCCGCGCGAGTACGGGCCGGACTGCGGCGCGGGCGCGGGGCTGCCGGCGCTGGACGGGGTCCTGGACCTGGACGACCACCTACTGCCGCATATAGACCCCCTGCTGACCATCAAGACGCCGGCCACGCCGTCTGCCTGGGAGCCGCTCATCACCAAGGTATACCACGGCTTTGACGACGCCGACCTCAACCGACTCTCCATCATGAACACCGACATATTTTGAAACACTGTTCGCTCCCCCGTCGCACTCGAGTGGCTGACGTGCGATACCATATTAATAGTAGATGTTAATAGTAAATAAAATAGTATTCGTACAGGCCGGGCGAGTTTGATCGCTTCGGATAGATCCTCCTTTATAAATATACCACAGTTGTGTTTGTGTTGCACCGGTGCTACGATCAAAACCGCTCGGCCACCTACACAGCTACCTCAGGCAAACTACTATATACCTCAGTAATCCATAGGAAATATTTTAATGTAACTGTTGATATATACATTTATATAACATAGATCCCACCAAACATTAGTTGGTTAATGTTCTTAATCATATTCATAATAATGCTACCTCATTTAGTTGTTTAAGTTTATCGCGTTAGATTGTTGCTTAAACGTATGCCTCGTCGTTCAGATGTAGAACAGAATGTAGTTATGTGCCATTTGATGAACAGCTGGTGAAACTGGACTAGATTCACGTACTGCGGGCAATATTATATAGACGTGTCTGCCTCCATTATCCACATAGACTTTGAGTTAGCTACTCAAACTCGAATAATTATATATATTTACAACCGACTCGCCCCCTGACTTTACGGTGATCCAATGGAATCGGATTATCGCGTTTTAATTTTCCCTTTACTCACGACACTAAACTATAAAAATACAACTATTAAGAAACATACAGTGTGTAGTAGTATCTGGTATGTTACTGGTTATTTACGTTAGTACATTTATTTTCATAGAATGGAAATATATTTCCATCTAGAACTTTCCCATTGGATCTAAACACAATCTTGCCCGCAATATGTCCGTCTTAGTTTCACGTTTCGCCAGCTCCCATTCGACAGACGCCAGTAAAATGTTTAAATTGCTGTCCTTTCGGTTCCAATATTGTATTATATTCGATTATTATGATCCAAAGTTAGAGTTAGATGGTGAACAAATTATTTGCATTTGTAAATATTTTGGTACTTGCGGCACTTGCATTTTCGACGCTTTTTGAGGCCGCCGTTGGTCGCAATTAGCTTTAGGATATGAAGGACGTTAGGCAAAAATTTGATCGCTCTTTAGATGTCAGCTACGGCTGGAGCGTCAGTTATGTAAGTGTGACTTGAGAGGAATCATATACAGTCACTTCTAGTCCAGATGAGTTGTGGTCATCAAGCAGGTTGCCTAATGTTCTACTGAAAGATTCTTCTTCGATAGATGATGGTATGATACCGTACGTGCTATTGTACAGGGATTTAAGTAAGATCTAAAGTATGTTAGTAGCTGACGAGCATTGACTAGAGGAGGACGTCTCACTGACTGCTTCCACCTGATAATCGTCGTAGAAGTATCGCGCCGCGCCAACGGCGGTGTGCTCATGCATTTGAATTTCGATTCCTTTATTATTATTGTTATTTTTATTGGGAAGTCGCGACGCCAAGCGTCGTGATTTTAGAGTAAGTGAATCGATAGTGCTGTGATATTTTTTATGTATATTTAGTGTTAAGGTTAGAGAGTGTAACGTAACGAGTGAGTACAAACAATGTTTTAATCGCGAGATTGCGGCGATTCGGAGATAGAACCCGCGACCCGCCCCTGGCGCACTGTAGACGCGACCATACGAGGGCCCCGCCCGCCACCGCCGCCCGCGCCCTCTATGGTCGGGGAGGGGCGGGCCGCACACCTAGTGCATTCGGAAATAGAAGTAATGTTGCTACATAATATAGATGCGCGAGCATTCTAAATAAATCGAAGGATGGTGTTACCACACCAAAAAAAGAATAACTTGACAATGTTTACTTAAGCAGGATCAAGCTGCAAACTTAAAATGTTGATGTAAATGTTAAAAAAAAGAGTAAAGAAAAATATTTAACTCCGAAATATATTTTGGAGAGAATTATTTACAAGTATGGAGGAGAGGGGTCTTAGTGATAAAGATATCCAAAGACTGCTAGGTATTATAAGTTCTTTGAACTTGAAATTCGACTTATAAGTCAGGGATTTATGCGGAATAAAGTCAGACGTAACGAAAGCAAATATGTAATAGACAACGGCGTAGCTATCGGATAATCATAGGCTTTGACACGAAAACGACAAAATTAACAATGAAGCAAGTATTTGGCGCCTCGAGACACCTGCGAAGGTATAGGGCAGAGTTGCATTGATCACACACGACCTGGTACACACGGCCAAGGCCGATGTCGGCATGAGCGGATCGGAAGATCCCATGCTTTGATAATACAAAAATATTAAATTTAAGCGCACTCGCTAATCGGGTAAGGCAAGAACATTAATCTTGTCTGCATTTTCACAATTAAGTGAAATGTCCGGTTAGTAATGGCGCGACCAATAACCACGCTAGATTGGTTCCCCAATTGGCAGCTGCGCGGTGGACGACGAAACAAAAAAAAACATAGTATAAATAAATATCTGCATGTGGCGTTAAATTGTACAAGTTTTGCCAAGTCGATGATAGCAGTATTCTATGTCTTTTTGTCGTGGTCGGTGTATGTAAATCTGTATGTCTAATCTAAATTATAAATATAAGAAAATGTAAAAAAAATGTCTCCACCGCGCGGCTCGTCCAATCGCTGTCAGTTCCGTGCGAGCTTGTGACAGTTATAATATACATAGCATTAACTCACATACAATATAAGGATGTCTTAAACCTCAACTGAGGCTTTCATTATTTCAATATAAATAGTACTTATTTCAAACTTCTGTATTCATGAATACCATTTTGATGTTAAAATTTGTTGCAAAGGGGACAATTGCATGTTTTCGCGGTAACCAATCCCAATACAGGTTGTAGCAGTAGTGCATAAACCCGGGCTGGGTACTAGTAGCCCAGTAAACTATTATAATATTAGGATCGGGCATAAAATGGTATGAGAGTAACTCACCATAGTAGGATGAGCGCTATAAGTTGCAAAGACATGCTGATTCATAGCAGGTAGCTTCAAACAAGCGTTATGCAGCGCCAGGCACCTTGTAGACCGACGGGCCTGCAAGCATCAAGGTTTAATCGTTGCTAGATTCTAATATTATGTCCAAATGTATATAAATACATAAAATCCAGGGCTCAAACCCACGATCCGTATGCAACGGTTTCAATTGGACACTAGTTCAATCAACTTCGGTCGATGGCTAATATGTATTGGCTCCAATACTTCTCTGCCATTGACAGAACACGTTTAGGCTTATTCTTGCACTGTAACTTAGAACGGAGCTCGTTGACGTAGCAATCTGAGTTTACTTTGCAAGCTGGTTTAGGCTACTCCTCCCAAACATAGTAGTCTAACCAGCAACTGAAGTAGATATACTGCGAAACAGCGATCGTGTTGATCGCGTTTTGTGAGAGTAGGCCTCCAACACAAGCGATCGTCGGGGCGAGCCTCGAGAGGTTGATCCATCCCGAAATTGTCGCATTGTACCCTTTGCGACCGTATTTGTCCCTAGCTTTTAGGTGTTAGGTTATAGTCGAACACAGGGTATTGTGGTTCTATTTTAACGGAAGTGTTAAAAACGATTAGTAAGCGACACACATCGCACCCGAATCATGATGGCTAACATAATACTACCCCAATACCCGACAAGTGTACAATATAGGTACCGTTCTAAATCTGTCTTAAAGTGTAAGGTGTACAGGCCGGGTTACGATTATACTTACAGGGATATCTAAAACGAATTTTGAGAAATACGTACGACATTTAAATTTACTCGTGTAGACCGTAATACTTAGGTATTGCGATAACTGAAAAACGAATTCCTTAAACTTCGTTTTGTAATAAAATGATATCAGATTCGCAGTCTATGTTCATTTCAAATGTGGTAGGACGTGCGACGGTCGTATCGAGAGTAGTAGAAGTGTAGGAGTCGGCAATTGCTGATGATGCTATTAGTTAGTATACGGAAGGTGGCTTAGCCAATTTGATATGAACGTATTCACAGAAGGAAAAGTTAAAAGATATTTTTCAAATAAATATTTAAAAGATTTAGTAAGTAAAATGTTTGGTAAGGTGCAGTTGTGAAGTTTATCAAAACCCGGTCGACGTTTCATGTAGTAAGCTAAATAAATTACGTTTTCATTCGGAATTCTTCATTTTAGAGATTTAAAAAAGTAAAATGCATAATAAGTATACATAGTGTAACAAACCTACTGGTTTATTTGGCGTCGCATTTCGGTATTGTGAAAATATTTTGTACATAATTCTGTAATCAATTTTATCCTTGACACCTAATTCATCTAAAATGTATTAAATTATTGTAAATGTACTTATTTTGCCGGCAAGACTATTTTATGCCAATGCGTTATCGTGAAATTATTTTAACATTTATTAATTTTTTATATATTCGATCATTTAGATTTATTTTGTAATTCTTTTTCTTCAATGGTAATTGTGAGTGTGATTTTAAAATTCATGTTTTTTTAATTAGCTGCATTTTGTAACGTGTTCACGATTTTAACGCGTGTATGATGCATGAACTTACGTTGGCTTTTTATGAACAAATTAATTAAAGTCTTGTCGTCTAAATATGTAATCGGCCTAAGGCACTTTGATATTAGGCTGCTGACTAGTCGGCCATGATTTAATCGAGCTTACGTAAGCGAATTCTAATTTCAGCGATTTCTAGCCAAATCATGGCCTACTATGCGTTCTTAGATGGAAAGGATATTGATAATCAGCTTTTTCGCTTTGATGTTTTTAAAACTTTTGACATGATATGTATACTTTTAAGAAACTGTATTTTTTGTGCGTCAAGCTTCTAATTGTAAATAAAAACGCTGTTACATTTTTTTCTACTATTCGATAACTGTACGGGATTATTTTAAGACGTAGTATCATATATTTAGCCAGTTACCTGAGCAGAAAAATGTGCAAGTTGGAATGTACTACTAGCGGAAGGCGGCCGCCGGTACTTGTGCGTTCTTCTATTTGGGCTCAGTATATAAGTAATGTACCGAACTACCTCTGCATGCCTCCATGGATAACAGTAATTATAGATTTCTTTTTTGTTATTATTGCGAGTAACTTTACATTTACACATTGATATATTTTGTACGTTATATTAAACAGAGTAATTATAAGGGACATAGGTTTTACAGTTATATATTAATGCTATAATCAATATTAAGAGTTGATGTGTGCAAATTAGATTTCAGTTTAATGTAGTATGCTACTCAAATCTGATTGGAAATTATTGATCCTTATACACTTCATAATACAATCTGACTAGTTCAAAATTGATGTTTTATTTCTTTTCTGTTTATCCTTTTTCATTTTGAGGTGTTTTTTATTCTATTATATTAAATAGTAATTGGCCACTTAAAATGACTATTGCTCTATAATTAACACTGATGAAATAAGTGGGAAGGATCCTTAGGGCCAGTTGGGGTTGCGGGGTAAGCGCTATGAGGCACCGCGACCTCGGCCCAGAGCAGGAGAAGGAACGTCAGTAAGTCTGGACACTCCCTCCCTGGGCGAAGTCATTTGATGATTTTCCCCTCACAAAAAAGGGCCAAGTCACACCAAAATGGGAGCGCTGGTATCTTCTTGACTAGTTAAGTTTTTTTATTTGGCATGGTAACTCGTGATTTTGGAGTGAACATGATGGAATTGGTTATTATCTCGTTTAGAAGAAGAAACCAAGGAAAAAAGAAGAAAGGGCAATATGGGTCTATGACTTATGCAAAAAACTCACCTCGACGCGGGCAAATGCGCGACATTTTCAAGCGATACTTCAGGTATTTTAAGTATCGAGAAATGATCTGCGGCCAACGTAAGCGGGTCTGCGGATGGCGAGTAAGGGTAGCTCGCCGCCCGACCAGAACCAGACCCGAGCGTACGGCGCGTAGCGTTCCGCGCGCGCCTCAAAGAGCCAATGGACCACCACAGACGGGGCCCTATAAGGTTAATGTTTAGCCGGGGTTGCGGGTTAAGCGCAATGAGTCACCGCGGCCTCAGCCCAGAGAAGGAACGGGGGTGTTTTTAGGCAGTCAGAGTCTGACACTCTCTCTCGCCTAACCCTGGGAGGGAGAAGTCATTTGATGATTTTCCCCTGACAAAAAAAGAAGGTATTTTAAGTATGTAGCTGAAAGCGCTCGCCGTGTCGGTGCTCGGCGACTCGGCCCTTAGAAAAGGCAAAAGATGTCTAGAAATAATACAAAAATGTTGCGGTAAGTATTCTTTATTTACCATCAAATTACGCACCTTAAATCTATGTATTTATTTAACTATATAAAACTGGCTTATTACATGAAAATGATGGCGTATGCTACATCGTGTGGTAGAATAAAGAAATTATTTATACGACTACTAAAATCTACAGAATAAAAGAATCAGTACTAATCATGACCTTACATGATTATTTAGGTAATGTAGGTATCTATTTTTATTGGTAAATGTGTACCTGAGGTCGCGACTCCACCTAGCCCGATGTAATGGTACAACTTGTAAAACGCGTCCTTCTCTTTAAAACTGTTACTTACAAAAACTATCTATAAAATACTTTGAATGGAAGAAAAGCAATAGTTGGCGACTATTACGAAAATCCTACGATTTCCTTCAGAAATAATGTATATTTCTTAAGTAAAAACCGCAATGCGATAACTACAGGGAGCCAGTTAAATAATAACCTACAGTTAACTGTTACAATCGATGCGATCCACTTTCATGTGTAAAAATTACGTTCCTTACGCCCAAATTTCCTAATCCCGCTTAACTAACATTAAAACTGACTAGACGTAAAACTGAGACTGCGCGACCACTGAGCGTAAGTCTCGCACGGAGGAGCCACCTCAACGTGTCTCAATGTTTACTCCAAAGCGAACATTTCCATTGTAAATTTTATGAAAAAATATACAAATTGCATAACGGTAACCTTAACTATAATTTAGCGGGGATATATTTACATTAGCCATACACGATAGTATTTATAGTGAGAAAACGTTCATGTTTTTACTACAAATTCCAGTGTTACGACTGGAAAAGAATTTAGAGGAACGTGGTCTATTAAAGAATAATAATATTGTTAGCAAGACATTGCACTCGGGCAGTTAGAACGCGACATATATATAATCGAGATATTCAATAAACTATAATCTGTATAAGCCGACATAATTCCACAAGGAACAAGCCTTATTACAATAGTTAAAAATACATTAACTAGTTTATTCATCTCGATAGATTCACAGAAAATAAAGAATTGTGACTATGTCTTTCAATATATCTCCTTATAAAACTAAAATTGCAGTCGAAATAAATCTCGAACATAAAGTCTATAAAATAGGAATAAATGCAACAAATATACAAAAGAAATGTAAATGATGAAATAAAAACAGTTCACTAACTAAATTTTCACTCGAGACCAATTTCACAATCAAAATTATGGTATTCTAATGGTTAATTATTATTTTTAGTGGTACTCCTACAAAAGTGCATGTTTACTTGATGCGTCATATAAAGCTGTTAATCAATATTGCACTTTATTTCGTTGATAGAAATTGTAATTTTGTTAGTATTACAATATGTAAATCGAAAAATTACAACGACAATACATTACGAATCAAACGTCCCACAAAATTTTGAGTAAGCTTGTATATATGAATTTTGTTAAATGTTTGAATCAGTAATATATATTGATTACCATCCAAGTATCTGTTTGAAAGTGTTCGCCTATTAACTGATGTGTATTAGAGTTAATAAATCATTCTGGTTTTCAATTAGCACAGAAAATATTAAAACGATTTAAAGATAATCAAGAGATACAGTTCACTACATGTACAACGAAATACTTTCGCGTGTCATTTTACAATTTCTTTACGCGTACATTATGGTCCATGTTTCTTTAAACTGTAGTAGTGAAATATGAATAATTGTAGTTTAATACAATACATCGTAATTGACCGGATTTTACACAACATTGCGTACTTTAGGCCTTACAATAATATTACATGAATTTTTTATTCAATATTGTTGTATATTATGAGGTCAAATATAATATATAGTGTGATCAATCAGTTCTTACACAAAACACAGATTTCATGCACGAATTAACATGATCATTGTCATACACCTCATAATCCTATAAGAATATTATAATCACATAACACGTACATTTACGACGTGATCTGTCCACCTGCAGGTTTCCTAGTAAATATTCTAGTGTTCGTTTTTTTAGCACTGTTCACTGGCCCTGCGGCTTTACTCGGCGTTGATTTTGGCCGCAAGCTGGGTATCTGTGATACTCTTATACCTATAGCAGACTTCTGCTTAGGGGCTGAAGACACTTGCGCCTTCGGTTGCCCCTCGAAAGTAGAGCTCCGGATGAGTTTGGGAGGTTCAGTTTTATCCGCTTCGATCCAGACTTTCTTTTCTGCCTTAGCTGGCAATTTTTTCGCTTGTTCTACTTTCTTCCACAAACTTGCTATTTTGCTCTCAATATCTTTGGAGTTCGTTTTAGAAGACTGTATCGAGTTGACGCTGGAGGTGCTACCTTGTCGCGAACTTCTCGATGCTATTGTGATAGTTTTGCCACTCTCATTACTTTGCAAGCTGTGGTTGGAAGGCGAGTTCTTCATCATCGGTTCAGGTTTTTTTGTAACCCTCGATGTCGAGGGTTTGGGCTGATTTGCTTTGGCGGGGGGAGGTCGTGTGCGGTTAAACTGAGGAAGTCTAGAAGGAGATGTGTTGTTTTTATTAGGAGTGGGCCCCTTGGTAGACCGTGGTGTCGTTGTTTTTTTATCAGGGACAGGAACAGGTAAGTCCTTAGCAGGTACAGAACTCTCTTCCTTCGTAAATGTTCCCTGTCGTTCAAGGGGTAATGGTTTTGTGGCAACAGGCGGAATGCAAATCGGCTTCTGTTGTAACTTAGTGGGGGACTTGGGAAGAGATTTCTTAGGGGAAGTGTTAGCACTGGATGCTTTGGGTACGGAGGGTTTGGGTGTTTTGGCACTTGTGTGGGCTTTGACAGGATTCGTGGGTTTGGGGGGAGCACTCTTAGGGATGGGTTTAGTTGGAGTAGCCGCAGCTTTTTTTGGAGCGGCAGAAGCGTTTCGCCTGTATGGCGAGACATACAATGCCTTCTTTCTTCCCCTAATAGCTTTAGGTGTGTCATTTTCTTTGTCCAAAGATTCGTTGGAATCTAGACTTTCGTCGCGTCGAGCCGGCTTTATAATCTTCGGCTTCGGTCGAGGAGTCTCCGGGTCCGACTCAGATTGTGCTTTATCTTCCGAGTTGCTGTCGCCCTCGTAGCTCGCGAAGTCACTGCTACTTGGGTTCTGGTTTTTATCGCATTGCATCTGCACGGTGCGTTTGTACGAGGCAGTCATCTCGATGTTTTTAAGATTGTAAACGACGCACATGTCGACTGCAGCGGGACTTTCGATCACAGGTAAGTAATTCCTGAAGCTCTTGGTGTAAGTCTGCATCTGTGTAGAGTTCAGTTCGAAGTCGTCTTCGTTATGTCCGCTGTCCGTTTCTCGTGAGAATACATCGTCGTCCTGCCTGTCATCCGATATCTGCTGGTGGTTTAGTTCGTTGGAGGACAAGCTGTCATACCCAGTGGTGGTCTCCACGTTTTCAAAGTTAGCATCTTTTGTTACAAACGTGGGAGAAGGAGGGATGTCTTCGCTTAACGTCCTCGTCCGGAATCGTTCAGCGTCTTCTAAACGTTTTTGTTTCATAGTCTTTTTAGCTGCTAGTCTTTGTTTCAGGCTCTCTAAGTGAGGGTCCACTACCTTTTGCTGTGGTTCTGGCGGCAGGATGGTGTGTATGTCAACAGTTTGAGTTTGGTACCTAGCTCTATCTTCCAACCTCCTCTGTTTGGCGCTCAGTTTCCTCCTCGACTTAACCTCCGACGTTGCAGTGACATACTCGTCAGATCGGTCGCTCTCCGATTTAGTCCACGTAACAAATTCTTCTTCTACTTCAAGTACAACATCACTCTCAGCTACCGTGTCTGTTATGGTGTATGTTTGGTATCTATCTTTAGATACGTGTCTCTTCTCTTTTGGGGTCAAATATTTCGGATCTCTCTGTCTCTTTGGAGTGGACTCCACGCTACTGATATCTGACGGTATTGGCGTACAGTTCTCCGATCCTGACGGTATGTCGGTGACAACATTCAGAGTAGACGTGCAGTCGTCATAAACTTGTTGTGCTGTGGTCGGTTCCACTTCTATGGTCGACTCCGCGATCTCATCGAACAAAGATGGCGGATTCACTTTGTCTAGGTCGTGGAAGACGTTAGTGAAAGTGCTGCACAGAGGGAAGTCTTGCACGGGCTGCTTGAAGTCAAACACGATGGGTACTCGTTCCTTGACTTCAGCCACCTCCGACACAATACTGGAGACGGATATCATACTGCTCTCCATGTCGATGTTGTCCATTTCTGAAGGAGGCTTTACATTGTCGAGAAAACTGACTGGGTTGCTGTCCAGATGCTCAGAGCTGCCTTGGTTCATTGAGTTACTGAGAGCTCGTTTTACCATTAAGGCGACTGGAAGCGACTTTTTGCGACTCTTTTGTGATTTCTTTGAAACTTGGGAAGTCTCGTCCCAGTGTCCGGAGGCGCTGAGCGAAAGCAAACTGCCGAGGTTTGACGGCGGTTTGACATTGTCAAGGTCGAGAGACGTGAGTGACGTCACACTGGCCTCCATACCATAGCTAGAGCTCTTCAGCTGCGCTGCTAGTCTCGCCGCTTCCTTCTCTATAGCGGCCGATATGATGGAGTCAAACTTTTGTTCCCCGTCGTCTACCAGCGACGTGAAGCTCGGCTCTGGAACACTGTCCAACATCAGTCTCTCAGCTTCCAGCTTGCTGTCCATCATCATAACTAGTGGAGATTGTGGGATGTCTCTGTCAACTTCCAGCTTGTTGGTCAAATCTGGACGCGAGAACGACATCGTGGGAGCTTCGCTCTTCTCCAGCAAATCTGGTAGGGTCAAATTGTGGTCCGCGACTTCACTGCGAATTGATGATACCATGTGTACGGAGCCACTGATAGTAGGGAATGTCACGTCATCGGGGCACGTGTTGTCGTTCCAGGTGTCAGTGCTGCGCTTGGACATGTCTTCAATGGTCGCAGGCAGCTCCTCCAGGGGCTTCACGTCAGTGCACTTGATGTCGGTCCATTCCAGTTTGTTCTTCTTGCTGTGCCTGGTGAGCGTGCCGCCGTCGCCGACGTCTCGTGGGCTGTCTCCGTCGCTCCAGGAGCCGTCCAAGACGTCCGCGTAGGACTCGTTGGAGCGGTCCAGGTCGTCGGGCCGGTCGGGCTGGTCGGGCTCGGAGTCCAGCGTGGTGTTGGCGGAGCGCTGCGCCAGGCACTCGTTGGAGCCGCGCGCGCCCCCCTCACAGCCACGTGTGGCGCGGGGGCGGGGGGCCGGCCCGCCTGCGGGCGCGCGGGCCGCAGGGGGCGGGGACACGTTTTTTGGCGTCGGCCGCCGCGCCCCCCTCGCCCCGCGCGCTATCACCTCCTCCAGCAGCGCGCGCGCCGCGCCCATGCGGGCCAGGGCGCCGCCGGGCGCGGGCGCGGGCCCGGAGGACGCGGCGCCCCCGCGGCGGCGGCGCGCCTCGAGCCTGTCGTCGCTGCGGCCGCGGCGGCGCGGGGCGCGCGCCATGCCGAGCCGCACGCTGCGCTCGAAGACCTCGCGGTCGGTGGAGCCGAACGACTCGTTGCTGAGCGACGACAGAGACGAGCTGCGCTCGGGGCGCGGCGACGCATGCGCGGAGCGCGCGGCGGGGCGGCGGCGCCTGGGCCGGGAGGCGCGCGGCGCGGCCGGGTCGCGGCGCACGCCTCCCTCAGCGGAGTGCGCACGCAGCCTGGAGTCGTCGAGACAGGAGCGCGCGCGCGGGTTGACGCTGGAGAGTCCGGCCTGCACGGTCTCCTCGAAGATCTCTCGGTCGGTGGACCCGAACGAGTCCAGGCTCAGCGAGGACAGCGAGTCGTTCCGGCCGAGCTCCGCGGTACCTGCGGCCCGAGGTCGCTCTCTCCCGTTGCCTGCAGCTTTTACTGGCAGACGACTTTCGTACTTGCGACCTGTCAACGAATTCATCATTAATTTAAATGAAGAACATAGCAAAGCCAAATATACAACTACAATAGAACAATAAAACAGTAAGTAGCGTACGTACCGTCGTCTAGCGCGGGAGGTCGCGGCGGCGCGGCCAGCTGCGTGACCTTGGGCGGCAGCGGGGGCGGGGGACTGCCCGAGCTGCACGACGCACTGGATGTACGACATTATGCCATTAGTATAATGCACACATTGGTACAAACATAAAACGATATATTAAATAAGTATAACGAGAAGAGATGAAGTGATGACACTTACCTCTCGTGGACGGTTCTGGCAAACTCATGGGACATTCTTACTGTCTCCGTGGATGACCGCAAGTACGGTGGCAATGATCTCTGAAAGCATAAAGGGCAACATTTAGTAATAAAACCTTTAGAATGACGACTTAAAAATAAATATCAAGAATTGGAAGAAACTTACATAAACATCGTCCCTGTAAGGATTGATAGATGAGACTTCTGATGACGGGCCCTTGTTCTTCACCACCTGTGAACAAAGACATGTCTAATTAAGCAATTCAACAGACTACAATATCTTAGAAGAATGTAGAATTCGTCGTATGAAACTAGGTAAGTACCTTAGCGATGCCTTTCTGTATGCATTCCTCCAATAGATCCCCAGCGTCGCTTAAGTTGGAGCTGTCGGAAGTGTCGTGAGCGTCGTGTATGTCGTGAGGGGGCGGGGCGGGGGCGGAGTCTATGGACAGCACCGATAGGTTGGAGTTACTGCCCGCTTTGGACAAGATGGCGGGCGTGTCTTCCGTGAAGTACACTTTGCACACATCGCCTGGAGTTTGAGTGCCTGTAATATGCAACATTGCAAATTATATGTGTTGATTTAATAAGGATTTAGTTATGGTAATTGCCATATAGGACAGAGTCGTTAGTTCGTGTTAGTGTGTATGTTACTAGTTTTAAATGTTTACCTTTCATTGGCTCATTCGAAACATGGCTCGATGACGGCAATGAACGCAGTTCATCTCTGTAACAATAAAAATATTAGTATATATTTCTTTTGATATATGTTTTTTGAAAATTGTTAGTTTGTATATGTATGTACCTATTCCTGTTGTCTTCGGGGTTATTGCTAGCTGAGCAATCGAGGTCCTCTTGATTGGTAACTCTTGGTAACAGCTTTAGAGATTGCTGAAAGAAAGCAAAAATTCATTTACTCTTTATGTTTTTTATTATTTTTTTGATGAAAACATAGATGAGATAGAATTGTCAATACTTAATCTATACTAATTGTTCGATACATGTGCATGTGTGTGTAGGTACCAATTATAGTATGAGTAAGAAGCTATCCTTTTAAATCATTGTAATATTATAATAACAACTAGTGTGAAAATAAATCCGTTCAAGCAACACCTCTTTGCATTTATCCAAGCTATCTAAACTAAAAGTGAACCTTATTACCAAAACATATGGTCGAATTTCGAGCCGGATTAATTAATTACCTGGGTTGTCAATCGATCCCAAGTGAGAACAAAGCGCCGCATTCTTTAGATAAGAAACTCGTTTGCTATGAGTGATTTGTGTCTTTTCAAGAAAAATTAATAAGCATCTGTGTTAAAACATTACGACTATTTTATTCTTCAACTACGTAATCTACATAATCAATATACTGGATTATCTTCATAATAATGGCTACGACAGCGGAACAATTACTACAGGAATTAGAAAATGTTGCGTTACTGCTACAAAAGGCTCAAGTTAATTTGAAGAAATGTCCAAAACAAAGACTAACCAAAGGATACGTAGAAACACGTTTGCAAACAATTGAGGAGTATTGGAACAAGTTCACCACGGCGCATTATAATCTTCTGAAAGTGGTCCCGAAAGAGAAGAAAAATGATATCGCATATTTTGTTAATGAAGATTACTTTGTTATTGAAGACCTTTACTTATGTTTACAAGGCGATTTAAAGGATCTTATGGGGTCAATGATGAACCCGAGATTAAGTGATAGCACAAGCCCCACTGGCACAACTTTTGAAGGAAATGTGAAGTTACCTAGAATTCAACTACCATCTTTTTCCGGAATGTACGAAGATTGGACCACGTTTAAGGATCTTTTTACATCGTTAGTCCACAACAACTCCACGCTGTCCAAGGTACAAAAGCTTCATTATTTGAAGAGTACCGTCAGTGGCGAAGCAGCTATGTTACTTAAACACATACAAGTCACAGAATGCAATTATGATCAAGCTTGGGATTTATTAAGGGACAGGTTTGGTAACAAGCGACTTATAGTGAATTCTCTCTTACGAAAACTTATTACACAAAGGAAGATTCCCGCGCAAACTGCCAATAACATCAAGACGTTGTTAGATACAACTAGTGAATGCCTTAACAGTTTGAAGAACCTTAACGTGTCGACTGATTCTTGGGATCCACTTATCATATTTCTGACGGTGCTGAAGCTCGATGGAGAAACACACAGAGATTGGGAGGAGTTTGCGTACAAAGATAACTTAGAAGAATTACCTAAATGGGAAGATCTTGTGAAGTTCTTACAAACAAAATTTCGTACCCTAGAACTGCTCGCTCCGCCTTCAAGAGAGAAACTATCACGAAATAAAGAATGTACAGTCCACGTTTCTATGGCACCTACTGCGACCAAACAAAGAACTTGTATAAAATGTAAGGATAATCACACATTATGCCACTGCAAAGAGTTTACTACAATGGAACCAGCAGAAAGATGTGAATATGTGAAGACCAACCAGCTTTGTTTCAATTGTCTGGCACCAGGACACACAGCTAAGAAATGTCGATTAAACATGTCCTGTCGCATATGTCACAAACGTCACCATTCTCTTGTTCATCAACAAGCACAGAGTAATATCTCAAATCAACAAGATAATATGCAAGCTAAGCATCATCAAATCGAAGAACATCAACAACAAGAAGCTTATGAACAAGCTGAGCTTTCGTCACACTTTACCGCTAGCACGCCAACAGCACTACTGGCTACAGCTCTAGTACCAGTAAGTGATATGTCGGGAAGAATGACTATACTACGTGCGTTAGTCGACCAGGGCTCACAGGCTACCTTCATTAGCGAGAGAGCCGCCCAACTGTTAAAGCTTAAGAGAACACCCGCACAAGCTACAGTCAAGGGTGTTGGCTCAACTACGACTGCCATCAAACACGCTGCTCAAATCGAGCTGCGATCAAGGCACGATGACAGTTTCAAGTTACAAGTGAAGGCATACATCATGGCCACGCGAATCACAACGCAATTACCATCACAAACCATTCCAATCAATACCTGTTCTCACCTAGAAGGTCTGAAATTAGCTGACCCGAGTTTTAACAAACCAGGACGAGTTGACTTGCTCCTGGGTGTAGAAGTATGTGCCCAAATTATAAGAAGTGAGTTTATCAAGGGCCCCCCTGGATCTCCATGTGCTCAGAATACCAGCCTGGGGTGGATCCTTTTTGGAAACATACTTAATGAAGGAAATAAAAATGATTTTATTGTGATGCATCACAGCCTTGATTTAAACAAAATGTTGAAGGCAATGTGGGAGTTGGATAATGAAGACAAATCAAAATTAACCAAGGATGAAAGAAAATGTGAACAAATTTACCAATCCACTCACTCGAGAACACAAGACGGACAGTATATAGTCAAACTACCAACAAAAACCAATAACTTACAATCAATATATGGAAGAACAAGAGAAATAGCTATGAAAAGACTTTACCAATTAGAAAAACGGCTAGAAAGAAATGCTACACTGAAAACAGAATATATAAAAGTCATGGAAGAATATATTAGTATGAATCATATGGAAGAAGTACCAGAGGAAGAAATTAATAGAGACAGCTACTACCTGCCACATCATGCAGTAGTCAAAGAAGAAAAGGAAACAACAAAGGTCAGAATAGTGTTTAACGCGTCACAGAAGGGCAACAATGGTATTTCATTAAACGATGAACTTCTAGTTGGACCACAGCTTCAAACTGACATGAGGAGTCTTATCATGAAGTTTCGAATGAGGAGGATTTGTTTTGTGGCTGATATACAACGTATGTATCGCATGGTCTTAGTGACGAAAGAAGACAGGGATCTGCAAAGGATATTATGGCGAAATGACCCTAGCCTGCCAGTCAAGGATTACAGACTCACACGTGTTACCTTTGGTACGGCGTCAGCTCCATACTTAGCCGTTCGAACACTCCATCAAGTCGCTGATGATGAAGGAGCCGTATGCCCTGCTGCTGCTATAATGATCAAGGAAGATTTTTATGTCGACGATCTTATGGCCTCAAAGGACAATCTGAATGATGCCATACACACAGCAAAATACCTGGAGGCCATACTGCAGAAAGGAGGGTTTACACTACAAAAATGGTGTTCGAATGATGCTAACTTCTTAAAGCAATTTGATCCTGCAAAACGAACAACGCATGCCATTCTAGACATCACTTTAGATGGCACCATAACAGCCTTAGGCTTGCGATGGAACATGGGTAAAGATGTGTTTCAGTACAACCTTAAATTGCCTCCTATAAGCAAATCGATTACCAAACGCACGATTCTTTCGGACATTCAGCGACTGTTTGATCCATTGGGTTGGTTAGCTCCAGCTATGCTACCCACAAAGCTCCTGATACAAAGGTTATGGTTGCAAGGAACTGGTTGGGACGAAGAATTAGATGCAACTACCAGAGAAGAATGGATTGCTCTTCGAGAGAGTCTTCAACATCTGAATGGCATAGAAGTACAAAGATGGCTTGGAATCACAGATCATAAGACAGCCAACATTGAAGTTCACGGATTCTGTGATGCCTCCACTAAAGCATATGCTGCTGTTGCGTATGTCAGAGTTGAACATGAGGAAGTTGTTACTACTCAAATAATAGCTGCAAAGACTCGAGTTGCTCCTGTTAAGCCAGTTTCTTTACCTCGGTTGGAATTGTGTGCTGCTCTTCTTTTATCACGACTTCTTAAACAAATTAAAACAGCAATGAAAATACCTGACAACAATATATTTGCGTGGAGTGATTCCACAATAGTACTCTCCTGGCTGCATGGTGACCCTACAAGATGGCATGTATTTGTGAGAAATAGAGTTGTTGAAATCTTGGACAACACAGGAACCAATTGGTTTCATGTACAAAGTAGCAACAATCCTGCTGACGTTGCATCACGGGGAGAACTTACCCTGGAGTTAAGGGATGATGAACAATGGTGGAAAGGCCCAAAATGGTTAAGAGAGCAAACAATCATATTAAATAGACCAGACAACATAACCACCAGTTTAGAAAGAAAGGAAGAGATACAAACTAATACAAAGGTAGAAGAAGAATCAAGCTTAGAAACCCAATTTCAGCATTATGACAACTTGGAAGAACTTTTAAAATCAATAATTTATTGCAAGAGATTTCTAAAAGGTAAGAAAATGAGAAACAAGGAAACTGTCATCACCACTCATGAGATAGACGAAGCACTTAAAACCTGCATAAAGATAGCGCAAAAGGAAAGATTCTTTGAAGACATTATGAATTTAAAGAAAAAAGGGGAAGTAACTGGAAATAGCAAATTAAAACTACTAAAACCTTACCTGGACCATGAAAATATTCTTAGGGTGGGCGGCAGACTACGTCATGCAGACATAGCAGAAGACACAAAAAATCCTATAATATTAGACAATCACAGTAACCTAGCCACACTAATTGTGAAAGATGCTCATCGCAAAACACTGCATGGTGGAATTCAAATGATGATGGCCTACCTAAGAACAAAATTTTGGATTATCAAGGCAAAACATTTAATTAAACATAGAATCCGTAAATGTCTCATATGTTCTAAACATAGTGCAGCGTCTAGAAACCAACTCATGGGCGACTTACCTAAAGTCAGAGTCACACCAGCCAAACCTTTTCTAAACAGTGGGGTTGACTTTGCTGGACCATATCAAATTCTTGCATCTAAAGGCAGAGGAATACGAACCAATAAAGCTTATATCGCGCTATTTGTTTGTATGGCCACCAAGGCTATACACTTGGAAATGGTTGGCGATCTCACTACCGAATCCTTCATCGGAGCCTTCAAAAGGTTCGTTGCTAGACGCGGAAGATGCTCACACATATGGAGTGATCAAGGCAGAAATTTTGTAGGAGCCAATAAGGAATTAGCTGATGCTTGGAAAGAAGCAAAACTTGAGTTCGACAGCACGATAGCGGCGTCTCTTGCACTTGACGGAACTCAGTGGCACTTCATTCCTGCCTATAGTCCACACATCGGTGGCTTATGGGAAGCAGGAGTTAAATCTATGAAACACCACATGAAGAGGGTATTGACCAGTCACTTAACGTATGAAGAAATGAGTACGCTGATTTGCCAAATTGAGGCATGCCTAAACTCCAGGCCACTAAGTCCAATTGATGATGGTGACACAGATAACCTAACGCCCCTAACACCTGGCCATTTTTTAATCGGCGAAGCTCCAATTACTGTCCCTCAAGCTGATTTTCAAGATGTTACAATCAATCACCTGTCCCGCTGGCAGCATATTCAGAAGTTGCTTGGAGATTTCTGGCAGAAATGGCAAGCGGAATATCTGACCAGCCTACAGCAGAGACCAAAATGGCTCAAGAGATGTAAAGAACTTGACATCGGTAATATTGTACTTATTAAGAATGAACAGCTTCCTCCCGGTAAATGGGCTTTAGGTCGCATTGTAACCAAATACCCAGGCGACGACGGCGTCACAAGAGTGTACGGTGTTAAAAGTGGTGACAGTATAACCAAGCGTAGTTTTAATAAATTATGTCCCTTACCTATAGATGTTGATGATTAGGATTGTGTAAAGTGTCATTGCATGAATGAGTTAATCATATGAAATTGTTATTTTGTAAATGTTTTTTTATGTATTTCAAATCACATTACTATGTCCATGAATAACTCTTAAATACTCTGTTAGTATAGTTATCATTAATTAGGTTTGTTTAATTGTTTAAAGGCCTTATAAGCCCTTTGGTGGGCGGCATGTTCGATACATGTGCATGTGTGTGTAGGTACCAATTATAGTATGAGTAAGAAGCTATCCTTTTAAATCATTGTAATATTATAATAACAACTAGTGTGAAAATAAATCCGTTCAAGCAACACCTCTTTGCATTTATCCAAGCTATCTAAACTAAAAGTGAACCTTATTACCAAAACACTAATATTATAAAGAGGTAAAATTTCTAAGTTTGTATGTTTGTATTTTTGTTAGTTTGTTTGTAGGGGGTGGTAATCTTTGGAATCTTTGGTCGGATTTCCAAAATTCTTTCAGTTATTTGTAGCTTCAATGTTCCCGAGTGCTATAGGCCATAAAACATCACGCTACAATCAAATGGAGCCGAGCAGCGAGTGAAACCGAGCGGGGGTAACTAGTCTATACTAATACTATAAAGATGGAAAATTTGTAAGTTTGTATGTAGGGTTAATCTTTGGAACCGCTGATCGGATTTCCGAAATTCTTTCACTGATAAGCTTACATGTTTCTGAGTGCTATATCAAACATCACCCTACGACGAATAGGAGCCGAGCAGGGTGATACCGCGCGACAGTAGCTGATTAAAGATAATACTTTTAGGACTTCAAAACAAAAGATGTTAATATTATTGTATGAGCTGATGATGAAATAAATTAAAATGGAGACACACCTTGGGCAGCTTAGGTTCATCATCGATGGTCAGGCTACTAAGGCTGGTGGCCGCAGAGAATTGTGCTGGAGTATGTTCTACCAGGAATCTTGAGACACGCTCTTCGAATACTGATCCCACGCATCCTGGTTCTAAGGAATAAATTGATGTTTTACAATAAATATACAAAAACCATCGCAATAAATAAATAATTAATTTTATATTCTTTATTGTACACCATCAGCACAAAACAAAACTATGAAAACTCAAACAAATAATGAGTGTACAAGGCGGTCTTATAGCTAAAACCATATCTTTCTTTGAATTGAATTGAACTGTAGAAAAGTTTGGCAGCTAATAGAGTAAATTATGATAAAATAATTTGAATTTTTTTTACAAATTTTTAAAAGTTCAACTTGTGACTTTTCTAGTTACACTGAAAAACTAATTCATCACTGCCTCCTTTTCGAAATTTTAGATATCGAAAATATTTACATTAGCGACCATACTCTGCATCAAAATGCGTTGCGTAGTTTTAAAAAATTAAGCATACACAGGGACATAGGTACACGGAAACCGACTTTGTTTTGTTATACCTAGTAATAAAATCGCTTCTTTACTCCTAAATGTTTCGGCACGAATAGGTCGGCTCGACCGGAATGATACCACGGCCTCACAGAAGACCGGCGTGAAACAACCACAGCGTTGTGTTTCGCCGTGTGAGTGAGGTTACCGGAGGCCCAATCCTTCCCCGCCCCCAATCCCTCCTCAATCCCTAAATCTCCAAATCCCTAAAAGGTCGGCAACTCACTCGTAACTCCTCCGTTGCGGGTGTCCATGGAGGGCGCTGATTGCTTACCATCAGGTAATCCGTCTGCTCGTTTGCCGACCAATTACATAAAAAAAACTTTCTAAAAAGTAAGAAGGCAGGTTAATTTATTAGTTTACCTTGTGGTGGCGTAGACAGTGCAGTTAGCAAGTCTTGTGTGGGCGCAGCCCTGGTCCGAGGGGACAGCGGCACACTGGCGCCCGGGGAGTCAGGGATCTCACTCGGAGATATACAGCCTGAGGTTAGCCGACTGAAACAATACACGTGTGATATTATCATGTGGGAGAACCAATTCGAGACGAATGGGCCGGCTTAACCGGAGTGATACGGCCTCACAGAAAATTGGCGTAAATAACCTTTTGTGTAACAGTATCTTTGGTGTTGGGGTGTTCATGGGCTATGGGATTTAATCTATTATATTAATCAATCTGTTCGTTTGTTGCGCTATACCAAAAACAAAGAAATTTTTCCACTCACCTAATTTCAGACACGACAGACCCGTGGTCGTCCTGCTGCGAGCACTCAGGCAGTGAGCCGAGCGAGCTGGACCGGGAGAACATGAGCGGCGTGTCCTCCACGAACCGCTGCGGCGGCGGCGTCGCTCGCCCTGACGCTGGCTCCGACCCACACACTGACACTGGCTCCGTCGCGAACGTCACTGCTTTGGAACCTAAGATATTCGGAAAGGGTCAGTAATTAAGGCATTTCTATAGGACTTCGTGAAGATCAGAAGAATAAAGCATTGGATTAAGAGAAAGTTCAGAAGCAGGTGATATTTATGAATGAATATTTAATGTTATTCCTCTGATGTCACGATTTAATTTGAGATGACGATTACCTTCTTTGTCCTTAGCAGAACTGCTGGTACTCTGTTCCGGTGGGCTCGGCTCCGCATTTATTGTTGCCATTGCGTTTTTCTTAGCCAAGCTGTCTTCTTCGGTTGGCTCACCTAGACTGCTCAAAGAGCTTACTCTTGAAAAATAACCAGGCGTGCCCTCGTCACAGTAGTTCACAGGCTTCTCCGGGCTGGCCATTCCAGAGCTGAACTTGGTATCGAATAGTCCTCGCTTTTCCGGAACAGGTTCAGCAACTGACGCAGTTTGAGGTGTCGATGCTGCACGGTCGTTGTCGTGGTTCGGTGGGTCTTCGATAGAACAAGTGTCCTTTTCATCTGAATGCGTCATCGCCTCAGGGTTAGGTTTGACTGTCGACGCACTTTTCTTATGGTCCTTACCGATAATCCTAAGATCTGACATTGAAGTTGCGGTGGAAAATATCGCTGGTGTTTCATAAGGAGTACCTTCTGTGGCGAAATGTTTAATGGTGTCTTCGTGAACCGAAGGACCAGCTGGTTCCGACATGTCCGATCCAGTCTCCGATTGGTGTTCAGCGTAACGTAGCGAATAGTCAGTCGGCTGGTCTAAATCAGTCTCTTGGTAATCGCCATACGTGCTGTTTGCGCTTTCTTTCTTTGAATACTTCTTGTTATCAGTCTTTGGCTTGTCTCCCTCAGATTCAGTATTCTTCGTTTCCGAATATTTTCTACTGTAGTCTACTGGTTGGTCGCAAGAATCCTGGTCGACGTCAAAACCGGATTCCGTGTAGTTAGTTCTCATTTCAGTAGTGCTTCTTGGCGGAGGAATCGGAGGCTGTGAGGGAAATCGAAGGAAAGAACTGTCTTTGTGTTGCTTCGAAGACGCTTTAAACGATTCGCCTGAGTTTTCACTCTTCATTAGGTCTTTGTTCCTAGGTGTCGGTACGGGTACTTTCCCGGTGCGCATGACTCGCTCAAACACGGAGTCTGAGTGAGTGCTGGTAACGCTGTCCTTGCTTTCTGATCTGTTTACATTACCAGCACTGCCTGTATTTGACCGAGTGACTAGTGCCCCCTTCAGCAACGTGTTACTGCAGCTCAAATAGCTGGCCAGGTGTGCGCTATGGCTTAAGGATATCTGAGAAGTCAATGTCCCCATGAGAGGTGAACTGGAGGTCATTCTATGTCTTTCCAAATTCATTGCTATTTGTCTCTCAGTGGCAGTAAAGAGATTCTTCTCTTCTCTATTACTGGTCGTAGGAGACGTGGCTGGTTCGATGTTGTCACAAGTTTCTGCCAAGTTTTGGTCCAACTCCTGCTCCAAAGCTTTTTGTTTCCTGGCTCCTAATGTAGGTAGCGCCGGTAAGTTCATGTTTCGAGCTGTTGTGTCTAATGAGATGATGTGCGTTTTACCAGGTTTGGAATTGAGCAAGTTTTTGAGGGCGGCGCTGGAGCCCATCGCTATCATTTTATGCTTGGAGTGAATAAGACTTCTAAGCATGGGTACCGCGCCGTGATCCCACAGGAACTGTTGATCTTGCGGGCACCTAGCGGACAGGTTCCACAGCGTGCCACACGAGTTGCTGACGACGGTTAGGCTCGGAGACTTAAGGTGCTGCAGTAAGACACTTAAACAATTTCTCTCCCGGAGAATTTGCCTGTAATCTTCGCGTACAGCAATATGACTTGACACGTTTCTCATGATGCCACCTGCGTTTTCAACTATAGCCAGGGTTTTTGTGGGTGAATTGTAGCTGAGCATATCAACAAGGAAGCCCAGAGCTCCTTCAACGGAACATAAGGCTACTTTGTTCATTGAGCAATGAGCTGTCAGATTCCAGAGGGCTGAGAGTACAGATTTCAGAGTGGCCTCCTTTTGACATGTCATTGCAGCTTTTGTTAGGCCTTTGACGGCTCCTACTTCTCTAAGCACTTGTTTGCTGTTAGTGTCAGCTCTCCAGGAGAGATTCCGCAGCACAGCTGCTGTTACCTGTGAAATTAAATCATTAATAAATATAGGTGCAAAATGAGTTATAAATAATCAGTAGAAAGTCAAGTAACAAAATTAGTACCTGTCGCATGTCATCGTTGGGTGATTCCAACTGTTCGACCAGAGCTAACATGAAGTCCTTGAATGAACACAACAAGGATTTGTTGTTACCGTCTCCGAAAGTGAGGTTCGTTAAGGTCATCCCAGCGTATTTCCTCATGGTCAAACACGTGTTGTCATCAGTCCTGCTTCCATGCGCCGCCTGGTCGCCGCTGACTAATGCAGCGAGCGCCTGCAGCCCTCCTAACTGACACACCACGTGCCTGTGCTCTTCATCAAACGACAATTTCATGAGAGCCGCGACGCTCTGACTTGGATGCTTGGTTACATCATCTTCTATAACTTCTTTTCCTTCTTTTCTCATCTCCACAAGATCTTCTAAAACATAGCAGTATTCCCGGACTTGTTCTAATAACCTCCATACTCTAGCTTCTCTTCTGCCTGCTTTGTCGTCAGTCTGCGTGTGGATAATGTTGCGAAGCGCCTTCGCAGCGCGATCTCGCGTTTCTCTAGGGACCTTCGAATGTATTAACTGAACTAGTAACGGGATGCAACCAGCTTGCCTCATTGCGATGCAACTTTCAACTGACCGGCTCATTTCCAGTAAGGGGCCGCTCAAGTCTGCGTTATTTTCTGGTGACAGACTTAAAAGTGAAATCAACGAACAAACGCATTCCATCTTATTTTCTAAATTAGACGAAGGTCTTGTTCCCTCAGCGGAACCGTTACTAGAGAAACTGCGAACGCTAGCGGAGTCATGACCTGTCCAGACATCGCGTTCTCCTGGCCAGGTCCCTCGGTAAAGTTGGGAAGCTCTTTTGTCACGTTCACTAGATCTCGCCGCACTTTCTAACCCATAATGTAAAGTGCTTCGGTAACTAGTTCTGTGCGGCCGATCTTCTGAACTGGAGTAAGTAGATGGCTGGTTTTTCTGTGGTCGTTTTGGCAGAGCTCCAGCCTTTTTTTGTGCATTTTCATCGCCGTCGACTTCATCATCGAGGAAGTTTGGATTTGTAATGTCACTGCGTTCGTCGAATTCATCGGGCGATGGTGAATGATCGAGGAAATGTGGCTTTAGAATACGGCATTCGATATTAGACTTGGACGGCGGTTGATAATCTTCGTCAAGAAAATGTGGCCGGCGTGAGAGGAGGTCAGGTTCTAAGGTCTCTAGCTCAAGGGTAAGGTCTCGTGAACGCGCCTTGTCAGATGCCTTTTGGGGAATGTGTTTGGGGACAATCTTAGCTTTTGTATCTTTTGGATCGGGTAAGCGGCGCGAGTCAGGTGAAAGAGGGGAAGTCGCATCTAGAGGCCCGCGAGGGGGTTCGCTTGAAGTGGAGGGGGTGCAGTCTTCACTTGCCGAAGGTCCGGAGTCAGTTAACGGTGAATTCGAGGAGTCCATGCTGCTCCAAGGATCTACCATCACTTCGTTCTCCAACTGAAACAAATTGAAAAATGCATTCTTAATTGAAAGTCGTTTAAGGGTAAAGGAGTCAAGGTTAAGGACTGGTGAGGTAATCAGCTAAGACGAATGCTGCCCAAAATGAGCAGTACACTTAAATTACTCGTATGGTCAAGGCTAGTAGGTTGCAGCGTAACCGTGGTACTTAAGAATATATTTATTTGTGGACTGGTTAAGATACCGGTCGGCCGGTCTCGAAAAAATAAACGCGTGTTTGTAGGGCGCGACCTTACATGCAATATTATCCTTAATTACCAGAGTGACTAGGCAGGAACGATATGTGTGGAGTTATTAAATGAACCTTCATATTAAGCGTTACAGTTACTACATTAACAGTCCACAAGGTGAGTTATAACCGAGTTGGAATACGTAATATGATGCGTTTCAATAATGCGCAGTTAACGGGAAGAAATAATCATTGATTAGAAGAAAAATGTGCTCACTTACATAGCTTAATAAAAATGCCCGTCGTTCAGATTGGATGTTTCTAGATGGAAAGATAACTAATTCGTAATTAAGGTCTACGAATAGGGTGCCGCATTGTGTTTGTGTGTCACGTATGAGCACTCGTATGGGGCTTATGCGTATAACATTACAATGAGTCACAGTGTACCGTGTGATAGTTACCGACTTACCGCTTACGTCATATTGTCATAACAACCCGGTCCCATTGGATGGTTACATCAAAGTAAGAAGATGTAACTAAATGTGTGTAAATGATTGAATCGGGTCAGTTTAATAAGAGTAGGACAGGATTGAAATGTAGCACATTAATGTATAAATTTAGAATACGCATCTGTGCACTTCGTAGAACAACTTACTCAATGGATTAGGTATAAAAGTAATGAAGAAAATTTCTACCGAATTCTGATCTGTTACGTTTTAACAAATCTCACTTTTTTATAAGGTAAACCGCAAACAATACTTCCTGTTTTATTATAATTCAAATAATTGCCAGATTGCTGGTTAAATGTCCGTTTCTAAGTTTGATTCAGCCTGACTAATGTCTTTGACCCCAGTGTCTTTTCCTTCTGTGTCCAAATCAAGTGATTGTGTCATAGAGCATTGTCTCAAGTTACTAGCCCCGGTGGCCGGTGGCCGGACAATGGCTAGACGAGGTGCTACCGTCCGGTCGGGCACAAATCACAATGGCCGGCGCCTGCCATCACTATTGTACTTTGTAGTATTAGATAGGACGCGCGTCGCAGCGGACGATATCGATTCGTATGTTACAAGAATTTGCTTTGTACTTCAAAATATCACACACTGAAATATTGGCGAATATATTTAAGACACAAGCTTATAGCCTGTATTTTAAAATAAAATCCACTGAAAACTGAAGCCAAGCGAGATAAAAATCAACGAGTTTTCAGAGAAACTTTACGCTTAGCGATTTAAAGTGAATGGAGTGGTTTCATAAATTGATACACATGTTTGAATAATATTTTATCAAGCTACAAAACTGAAGAGAAATAAACATCACTAGCACGAGACGACTCCTAAGATTACTTACCAGGTCGCTATCGTTAGAAGCTGATACGTCTTCCAAAGGGTTCCCATTTTCCATATCGACACCTGAGTCGTTAGGGTCTCCCCTCCTCCTCATCATCATATCAGTCCTGGTGATATCGTGATAGTTCCGCCTGAGCGGGTTGAAGGCCATACGAAGGTCAGTGGTGAAGTCATCGTAAAGTTTGAACTGGTTAGCGTTGAACTCCGTGTCGTTGTCGAGGACATCGTGGTCCAGGGAGATCCTGGAGCGATCAGCTCCCTTGTTCATGTAAGACACCTTGTAATAGTCCCGCGAACTCATTTTGATTATCACTTCGTTTTATAGTTTATTTCATAATGTTAAAAGCTCCTAAAAGGTTTCGAAATAAGAGTGTGTGGTGGCGTCGGTGGCCGAGAATACGTTGTATTGGATACCACCGCGTGTACTAAGTAGTTTTATAGGTTTCGCACGCGGAATATAGCACTTATAAATCATAGTAGCGAACACTAAATCCCATTGTAAAAGCGTTGCCCTCGAAAGCAAAACAGCGCTGTACCGTTCCAGATTGAGCATGAAATAGGTCAGCTGTATGGCGAATTTAGAAGGGCTCTCATGGGAGTACAAGTTTAAATTTTATTATAGTAGTCAGTAATTTTAACGCTCTTTTATTTGGACGAGAGCCAGAGTTTATATATTGTGACGATCATGTTTAGTACACAGAGTTTTCGCTCGGTGTTTTTCTCACATCCTCCAAAAATAAACTTGTGAATGAACATTTTATTATGTAGTAAACTAGTAACGTAGAAAATGGAGAAAATTGTATAGAACGATTAATTGGGTCACGGTTAAATTAATTAGGAACATCGTGATTTAATTTGCGTACATTGTATAACGACCTAGTAGGTATTCAGGATGGTATATTTTGGCACAGTTCGGAAGTATACTAAGCTCGTAAATGTCTTGTGGAAATAGCGCTATCTGTTTATATTGGCCTCCGTCAAGGTTCCACAGAATATACATTACATAAAATAAAGACATGTGTCTAAAATCTTCTTTTCTTGTATGCGAAATGTATGATGATAACTCATGGTGAGTCAATATATTAGTTTGCTAGCATGATCATAGCATAGCGACACTGTTCAATCGTAAGAATATCTATTTTAGTCTTAAAGTAATAAATACTCTAGTATAGTGTTTCCTTTACATAAGGATGAAGTGAAATACAAAATAATAGCTGTGGAGTTGTTTTAGATGCAGTGTGAAATATAAACAATAAACTCGTTTCCTGTGTTGATTTAGACAACAATAAAATTGAACGTCTGGCATTACCAGATACTGAGAAGGCTGGATAGATAAAAATGTCTTACGAACTATTATTCCATGCACAACTTAAAAAACAAAGTGCAAACAAAATTGATGTAGTTCAGGTTCATCGCAGACGTTAAGATTTAAGTCGGCAAACACTGGGACAAAATCTTAATACGTGGTAAAAGTCATCAACAAGGCAATGCAACGTTGATACAGCATAACTATGTTTAGAATCCTTCAGATATAAATTCATCAATGAAACGTAAAACTCAAGTCATTGAAAAGTAAACCTTGACATGTTTTGATTAGATAACATAATTCATTCAGAATTTATTTGAACGCAAACGCCACTTGGTACTTAAGACTTTGTTTTCATAGCTAAGTGCTGAACTCACAACATCCATATGAAGAAAGAAACGCTAAGAGAGGCAGCCAGTAAGTTAAGAACCAGCTAGTTATTCCAACCACCCTCGACCCAGTTCCAGAGCGGTGCTTTGACGGATTTCAATGACTCTCAACTTCGCAGTCTGAAGCCCTTTCGGAAAATCAATGATGATGTTGCAAAAACTTTAAGTACTGGAATGAATCGACAGCATTTTTGGGTTTTGTTTACAGTGAAACGTCGATTAGAAAACGAACTCGTAATAACAAGCGATGACGTACTAGAGCTTAAGGATTGCGTAGAAAGATAAATAGGGACAGGATGGGAAATAATCCTCAACTAAGGATCATTTCTCTTGAATACAGAGCCCAAAGTACAGACAGTAATAACGACTAACCACGTAAGTAAACAGAAATGGATGAGTCAAGCCATAAACCCAACAAGGCGCTTACTAAATACGGTCTATCTGGAGATTGCCATGGTGGGCGCTGCCAATTAATTCATTAAAGCCATTGCTTCTCAATAAACGTTTAAAAAAGGAAAATAGCCGTTAAATTCAAGGTGAGACATAGATACAAAAACCATAAACAAACATTTGACCAAAAGTGGTTCGGTCGTCGAACTTGAGTTGCGTAAGTAAAAACATTAGCAAGACGGTTAGAAAGATTACGTTGAAGCTGGTACACGTGTAAGAGGCATAAAGTGGCCGCAAAACCCGAATCTAGGTAACAATAATGTACCCGACCCGATCGTAACCCACAAATAGGTTGGGAGTCGAATATCGACGGTAACTGCAGTTTTGCAACTCTTTGTTATACCTATTATACCACGCACGGGAGAGGTTTTATGTTTATGGAAATCTATCGCAATAAATAACATTATGAAACAAGATTTATTGTATATTCTTTCAAAAAATTGCTGTTTTTGGAACAAACCCAAACAAGGAAATTGTATATTTAAAAAATGCTGATACGGAACAACAATAAATGATGGCACACCATTAACCGTTGCAGAATAAAGCAATGCAGGCAAATTGAATGATTAACAGCGGCTTCGCTCATTTGCATTGATTAATCTGGTTAGTAACACAGCATGAATAAATACACTGGAACCCTGACAAAAGCAACATTTATAAATCCCAAAAGCAATTACTCAACGGCGAGGAACAATCACGCACGAAACATACAAAAATAATCAGTAGCGACTTAGGCTAAGAACTCACGGAGCGATTTTCGCCCGCGTCCGCTGCGGTTGCGGGCCCGCAGCTTCTGTAGAATTCAAATATTTATATAAAAAATTAAAGCACATTTCACGACGCGTTTTAGGCTAAGAACTCACGGAGCGATTTTCGCCCGCGTCCGCTGCGGTTGCGGGCCCGCAGCTTCTGTAGAATTCAAATATGTATATAGAAAATTAAAGCACATTTCACGACGCGTTTTACGCCCGCGGTGTACGCGGTTGTATGCGGCTCCCGCTGTACCGGCGGGCAACTAGTAGAATCGCGCGGGCCGCGGTTACCCGCAGCCTCGGCGGGTGGCACCCGCGCGCTTTGCGATCGTTTGGCGAGCGACCGCGGGGGCCGGCGGGTCTTCTGTGACGTAAATACAACGTAACGACTCGTTTCTGGTGTGTGTCTATGGCGGTCTGGACCTCAACTGATCATTAGTCGCCCGTCTTGCAATCTTGCGATCATCGCCCGCCACGTTTGCGGGCGATGATCGCAACCGCGGCGGCTGTGTAACCGCGCAAATAACCGGTCTCGTGAGTTTGGAAATAAAACCGCAGTTCCGCTACCGCGGCGGGCACGGTTCAAAATCGCTCCGTGAGTTCTTAGCCTTACGCCCGCGGTGTACGCGGTTGTATGCGGCTCCCGCTGTACCGGCGGGCAACTAGTAGAATCGCGCGGGCCGCGGTTACCCGCAGCCTCGGCGGGTGGCACCCGCGCGCTTTGCGATCGGTTGGCGAGCGACCGCGGGGGCCGGCGGGTCTTCTGTGATGTAAATATAACGCAACGGCTCGTTTCTGATGTGTATCCATGGCGGTCTGGACCTCAACTGATGGTTAACCGCCCGTCTTGCAATCTTGCGATCATCGCCCGCCACGTTTGCGGGCGATGATCGCAACCGCGGCGGCTGTGTAACCGCGCAAATAACCGGTCTCGTGAGTTTGGAAATAAAACCGCAGTTCCGCTACCGCGGCGGGCACGGTTCAAAATCGCTCCGTGAGTTCTTAGCCTTAAATTGATAGTTTCTGTCATCCAACCCTGTAAGGTTCGTAGTTCGTGCCGTTTCCAAACCCAAGTTGTGACAGAGGGAGACGTATGAGAACAAATGACGGATTTGGATCTGTGACAACGGTACAGGAAGAGGGAACCTTTAAAATAGAACGCATATTAGTTTTCGAAGACAGAAAGTAAACCGCTAACGATTTGAACGATGCAATAATAGCATTCGGGGAAGCTGTAAATAACGTTGAAAATTAGGATCTCTAAGGATTTAGTTTTTATTCTATAGAGATTCTCTTTTTCACAAAAGATACACACGATTCGTCTTTAACACTACACACATACTTTGCTGTAGAATAAACACTGTAGCTACTTACTAAATGTCAACACGAAACAAAACGTCGATTATCGTATCACACAATGTTTCATAACAACTCTCGAGGAAGGTAACGAACAAATAATCTCATCAACAGACGTAACATCAAGTAACATGGAGAAGCTAAAAAATGCAAACATTAATCATTTCGAACAATAAAACAAGAGCATACTCTCTAGCCATTAGGCACATGAAAGCAAAGGCACTTACAGTGGTGAAAGTGTTATGGAATTTCGCGATGCACCAGCCATTATTGTAATTGGAGTGAGACGGTACGTCTAGACCGGCCACAGCATCGGCATGGCGGAGTACATCTTGAATGATGGGGAGCAATGATCGGGGACGTTCACACCGATCACAGCAGATGCTTAGAAATCAACTCGATTATTATTAGGTCTATTGACGTCTCAGATTTCACGGTTAAGTAGTTTTAATGAATTTTCTAGTTGGATAATAACGTCTTAAATATTATATTGGCAACTATTTTATAAGAAATCTATTGTTAATATCTTATTTTACTTTCTTCCTTTTTGTCTTTATGTTATGTTGTATAAGCATACATTGTTTTCTCTACAATAACCAAGACCATGTTATAATTAAGTAATGTGACTGCAATGTCACCTACATAGATAACTTTGATAAGGCCACACTCATCCGTTTAAATATCTTCGAGACAAGTGAAAGGTTATTTAGGATGATACATAAATATTTCACCATTTAAAATAACATCTAGCATTTCAATACTTTTTTTGTTATAAACAAAATAATTGGACGTGCAAACGTTCTTTTCGAACCAAACCAGTAATTTAATATTCCAAACGAATACTTTTACATCATAAAATGAAAAGGTACATTCGAAGCGTATTATCACGCTAATTAAACACGGGTTTAGCATGTGCAGAGTGATAGGAAAGTGAAAGTTTTTAAGAACAGAATCAGACGTTAGAAGACTATATTTATTCTATGGTAAAGATAAAGTTCAAGAACAGACCTTATCGGTTAGTATCATTAAGAGTTTTTTAACACAGTGTTATTACTAAAACAATCGAATCTACAATTTGGAATGAGCACCTAGCTTCACTGGCTAACAGGCTGACAGACTACTTTTCTATTTTGACATTTCAAAAGTACCTATTTATGGTTTAGTTGGAATAAATGATTTTGACTTTGAATGATTTAGTAATAGCCGTCTTTTCATAAATAGGAGCCTGCTGATTTTACTAGGTAATCCTTTAAATATCTTACAAAAGAACGATGTATTGAATTAATTTCAATTAGAGTAGATAAAGAACGAAAACAAAGGTCTATTCAATGCCTGTTTAGGTAAGTGCTAGTTCAGGATGGTATTGTACCATTATATTAAATGCAAAGATAGCAATAGCCGTAAGTGCATTGTCTTATAACAATACTAACTTATAAGATACTATATTGTACAGTCCCGTTTTCCTATACACTACTTCAACAAATTAAACTCGATAGATAATGAACTTATTTAATGTAAGTCGTGGTGGCCCGGAGGTTAAGTATGAGGGTTGGCCCGCTTCTCATGCATGAGGGGGTTCGAAACCTGGCAAGTACCAATGTGAATCTTCCGAGTTATATGCACTTTCTATGATTATTTAGACACCAGTGACACGGTGAAGGTAAACATCGTGAGGAAATCTGGACTTATAATTTCTAATTATAAGTTTGAAATCGCCAACCCGCCTTGAGCAAGCGTGATGATTAATGCTCTAACCTTCTCCGTATGAGAAGAGGGCTTTGCTCAGCAGTGGGCACTTATAGGCTGATGATGATGATGAGTTATTGAACTATCATTTTATTACTTTTCATCCAAGTGTGGAAATCGGAAACTTATTATGTAACAATTAATCTCGTAAAATTACTTCAATTAAACGTAGTTATAAATTAATAGCTATAAGAGTGTTATAAGGAAAAGTAGATGATAATTTATTGAATAATTGTTGGAGGAAATAATTTCTCCTTTCGTTGGGTATAAAAATTGAACGACATGGTAATTCGAGTTTCCTTTTCCGCCATAGTAATGAGCGAAGACGGAGACTAATTCTATAAAATCAATGAAGTCAAATTAAAGTTCGTATCTTAGTAATTAGTAATGAAACACTACGGAAATTGTGAGTTTATTTATAATCGATCTAGCTTAAATAAATTGTATTAGGAACATGTACTTATTCATAACAGTAACGCGTAAATTCTTTGGTGATGCACGAGCTGATGAACGAGATATGAACACACAGTAACTACAACTTGAATCTATATTTAGGTGTCAAAACCCAACCCGGTGTCATTGACTGGGAGACTAACACATGTCAATCAACGTCTCATTTTAGAATATTTTCGTCCAACATTATAAGCGACGTTGGTATATGTAGGTACACGCGCAACATACTACCTACCAACTGTTTACTTTGTCAGTATGTTATAAGGTTCAAAATCTATTAGCGAAAATTCACAGGAGAAATTAAGAACTATAAAACATTGGATCTTTCGAATAATAATACCAGTGACTAATTCCAACTTCTAAGACATTTTGATGTGATTTAACACAGACAGGCAGCTGACAAAATTTACTAGTAAAATCATAATGAACAATGGTTTTGGCTGTTTATCAAGGGGCAACCCACCTGTTTTGTAATGTTGTTTTGTATTTCGAAATACTGACACAGTAACACTGGTTATTGAAGAGTTAACCTATATAATTCTAGGAATTGTACCGGCTGGTTCAGTGCATACTGGCTGCATTGCGGCATACGTATTCTTGGCTCCTAGAGACGACCTTCAGAGTGCTATCTCTGCTTATTTCATATTATGAAACCATGTACTCAGTAATGGCCCAGGTTAATTCTTAACTCGTGCCAGAAAATACAGACCCAACTTTTTATTTTCATATGGACATTTTATGACAAAAATATTGTTTTTGACGTTACGATGCCTGCTGCATTATTTTTACCAATTTCTAGAATATTCTCAAACAGTATTAAATTTAGATTGCCAGAAAACATAACATATGCCATCAATTTTATTTCCAATAACTAATTCGATATCGTTAATCAAAACATACGAAGTGTGAATACTGCTACAAAATAAATCACCAGAATTAAGTTAATATTGTCTATTTATATTGACTGGCACGATTACCTCTCGCTGGAGGAATAAGTAATAGCAATGATATTATTAGTATTATTCTATCTAGGAGATCTAGACCACACATTGAGTCAGATTTGGAGCGACCGCGGCGTGTGGTCGCAAGATGAATTGTAACAGATCTAACAAAGTGAACATCACAGTATAAAGTGGACCAAGAAACATTTTCTTCATCTACAAATCTTTTGCCATTATAGGTTTGATTGGTTTCTGTAAAAAAAAGTAAGACTGTAGAACAAGATGGTTAAAATTGGTCAGAAAATAAGTAAATAGTGTTTTTGCCATGTTTGTACAAAGACGCCAAAAGGATCACAACAGTTTAAAATATTTTTAACCATAACTAGAAAAGAGTCTGGAATCATCCAAAATAATTATAAGTAATCAATAAAAACACACAGGACAAAATTACAAAGTGGCTGTGCCTACTAAGAAAAAGGATCACCTTTCACTGCCCCGTCGCGTATATAAGCTAATACTAATATTCCTATTAAACGCAATATACCCGAAGATATTTCAAGGGAAAGAGAAAAATGGATAGGTAATATATTGTTCCAGTAACGTGAGCTGGCAAATGTCCCTTGGGTCCTCTCTACCTTCACAACGAGCGTAGGGTTGTTGTAATAACCAGGTTACACAGATGGTGACCGCAGGAAATTCTAGCATAGCCACAACGAATATGAAGGGCTTCGGTTGAAATTATGATACTCTTACAAAATGTAGGTTAAAGCTTATTGATTTGTGAAGAGTATGAGGTAATAATTTCGATGAAGGACTTACATTTTTAAAGGTTGTTTGAGATTAATGAGGACGTTTGGAGAATAGATGGTACAATTAAAACAAACGAAACGCCACAACGAAGCTGAAAAAGGTGATTTTCTTCATGATAAAAACAAGAAAAAAAGTATAGATGAAGAAGACTGTGCAATGAATATATTGAGTATTGATTTCAAAGAGCAAAATATAAAAGATGTATTTTAAAGCAAGAATGCTTTAAAACATCGAACGTCATAGACCCTACCCGGATGGAATGTTTAGCTCAACGTAGAGAGAAAATAATTATTTTTTACGAGGTTCCGATAAAATTTGTGTTTACGACTGTAATGTATGTTTACATTGGTACGACCTTTGGTCACAGTCAAAGTATTTATGTTCAGTTTTAAAAGTCAAGGGTCCTGTTTATTTTGTTGTCAGGGTCATTTTGACCAGAAACGTTTTGATCTTTTGCCACTTTAAGCTTTTCACCATTGTATCTACTATTAGGTTTGGATAGACTAGCCTCAGCCTCGCTTAAGAAATGTCAACCGATAATTCCCCATTTATTTGAGCTCGAAACTTAACATCCTCTGGTTTCTTATGGATTTACAATTTTAGGTTTAAAAAGTGCTTGGCGATGAAAAACCGCTTTAGTATTTTGGGCCTCGTAAAAAGGGAGCATTGATCTCAGAATTATAAATATTGCTATTACCGTATGTATACTTTAAAGGCTCAAGTGGGTTAGACAAAGAAACGCTGTAAAAAGCTGTGAAGAGGGTGTTGTAAATTGAAAGTAATGAATACATTCGCTCGAAATTAAGTTTAAAACAAAGATCAGCAACAAATAAGTAAAAATTGACGAGAAAATTATAGTCAGTCGTGAATTTTAGGGCAGCCATTTTCATGCAAAACAGTAGTTAGTGCTAATCAGTAAAGTACAAAGTGGAAATAGTACAGTGAGAATTAATAAAGAGGATTAAAATCAAGATTTCTATAAAATACTTAAACAAAGGATTAGTTTAATCATGGGAGACCGCATGGTTGGCGCAGTGACAGAGCAACCGTTCGATTAAGGCACGGAAGAACTCTGTGTGATCCACTAATTGTTGTTTCGGGTCAGAGTGTCATGTGTATGTGAAGTCATATGTTTGTACCTACGGTACAGGATAAAAAATTTGTATATTTCTTTGCATTGACCACGTTAAAAAAGGAAAAATAATCTAATATTATATTTTTTAAAAACAATCTTCAAGGCTTTCCTTATAGTGAAGTAGATAGATGATCGTGGACTCGTGACGTAAGCAGCCTGTTTATGGAGACGTGAGGTGTCCTAATAATGGGAAGTACCAAGTGTCACGAACGAACGACACGGAACTCCATGATGGTAGTGCTGACATGACACACATGGGAGTGAATATCATTACGGTTCTATTTCCTGGTATAAAATGTGGGTTGTTTGTGCCTAATTGTTTTAACAGTGTCTTTGTAGGATCTTGGTCGACCAATCAAAGTTTTTTTTTACTATTTTCGTATGAGATAGATCGCTAAATGAGCAGACGGATTACGTGATGGTAAGCACTCGGCGCCGCCTATGGACACCCCCAACACCAAAGAAGTTACGAGCCTTTTCGGGATATCGTTTAATACTTTCTTTATCTATTATATCATATTTATAATTAAAATGATTTCTGAATAATATTCTAATTAGAATCAAGATTTACTTTCATACGTAGCGTTTAATTACACAAACAATTACCAAAATTAATTAAACACACAAACAAAGCTAAACAAAAGAATATAAAAACTAAAATGACAGAAGTAGACCTAAAAGAAGACGCGAGAAAAACTATGTATTACCTAATGCGACATAACAATGAAATTATGAAATATTATGTAGAGGAACTTGTCTCAGTTTATAAGAAATGTAACAATGAAGCTGTGGTATGTAATCTATCTGTGTGAATGTGAATCTTTGACAAGCTTCTTATAATAATGACAAGTTCCGTGGTTGAACACAGTTTTTTGACGTGAGAAACTGGGAACTGAAGAAAAATGCGAGACATTTACGTTTGTTATTATGTAATTGGATGATTTATTGTTATACTATGCTATGCTATGGGATATCATTCCTAAAGAAGCCAATAAAGATATGTTAATCGTGGGAGAGCCATGCTTCGGCACCAATGGGTCGGTTCGAACGGAGTCATACCACGACCTCACTGAAAACAAAAAAACAATCACAACGTTGTGTTTCGCCGTGTGAGCCCCAATCCCTCCCCCTCCCCTATCCCTTTCCAATCCTTAAAAATCCACAACCCTTATCTCCAAAAGGCCGACAACGCACTTGTAACTCCTATGGTGTTGCCGGTGTCCATGGGCGGCGCCGATTGCTTACCAACAGGTAATCCGTCTGCTTGTTTGCCGACTTATCCCATTAAAAAAAACTTAACGCACGCAGGTTTAAAAAAACATCGGTTAGAAAATATATCAATTAGACGTGACATTTTCCTATTGAAAATTGCGCTTGTTTCTTTTTTATAATAATGAAATATATACGTATCAATTTTCAATTGCATGCACAAAGACAATATTTCTTGCATGTATGTAACCCTGTCAGATTAATCACAAACTGAATAAGTAGCGTAGCTAAGAAATAGAATTGCAAATTATCATTTAAATTGTCAGTAAAAACGGCATTAGAATTCCAAGGCCTATTATTGGTTGTGCTGTTACTAGTGTACCACCCACTATTAAAATGAAATGTAAACACTTGGACGATATACAAGTACAATTGAGATCCAATGACCATCCAGATAAGTGTATTCAACACAAATTATTTTAGGCCCCTACCACTAATGATCAAAAAGAAAGACAAGTCATGATAAAAGAAACCAAGGAACATCATAACGTAGCTATTAAAAATGAAAGTAAATACCAGAGTATTACCGTGGTATTACGTAGGTATATAATGCATAATAAGCACTCCCACGAATAAGACATTACACAAAAAACGTTCTCAGTACCAATTCTGACGGGACGTGATCATTTATGAAGCGAAGAAACAAATAATTTTGAATGAACATTCATTTTAGTCAGATATATTAAATAGACTGAACACAAAAAGTTTTAGATAGCTGAAAGTATGTAATGGCCCGCGACGATCAGGTAATAAATCAAAGAGACTATTTTGATGTAGAATAAGATTTGTATTTCAATTGAGCAATATTAATGAGAAATGCTTCATTCAAATGATACATTGAAGCATTTTTTTAAGAAGCCTCAACGTATGTAGATACAATATTTTAAATATTTAAAGATGTTTTTAAGGATTAAGATGCTTTCCCTTAAGTCCATAAGTCTGGGTTCACACACTAAAGTAAGAATCATGATGTGCTTGACGACCTTCCTACAGTCGCAGAATTGAATGGAAGCCAAAGTAATATTAGCAATTACTGTGAATGCATGATGAAGACTTATCTATGATTAAACGTAATTATGTAAAAACGTTTGTATTCAAAGTAATTATTAGAAATGTAATTAATGTTTTATTCGAAAATCCAGCTATGACGAAGGTCTTATCAGGTACAGACAATACCATGAGCTAAAATGATTTACGAGTGAGATTAAAAAGGTTGGATTTAATTAGGGCCATTCCATTTTTGATACACCTATCATTTTGGAAGGGTAACGTAACAGTCACATTTTGCTAAACAATCCTAACACAAGTGTGAAGAGTTTAATAAGTAGTTACAATTATGAGATATGAATAACGAGCCGTGAAAAGAAAGTGCCAACTGAATTAATTTTAAAATGTATATAAATGCGACATGAGCACCACGAAATTAATTACCGTGATTACATAAAATTAACGTGCTAGACTTACATAACCACGATCGTGTAAACAATAAATCACTATCAACCTTGAAGAGAGGATGTTTGAACAAGCATCTTTTACGAAAATTCGATAGCAATTCACTGGGGGACTCATTAATATCCATAAAAGGTTGGCAGACCTCAGTTCCTAGCTTCCTGTGGAAGTGCTAACAATTTCCGAGGCGGACGGGGTCAAGTGCTCTAGGGACAATCACGATGATATGCCGTGAAGATTGGAAGGAAGCCATGGCCTGAATTTTTGGTTCGGAAGTCGCTGATCGATGGGCGGAGATAAGTTGGTTTTTTGCTTAGTAACGCTACAAAATACGGTCAGTTTATGAAGAGTTATGATTTGGTAATGACTATAAGAACATCTTTCAACTAGTAAGACTCCCAAAAAGTCAAGTGTTTCCAGATAATAAGATTTTACTACCAGTGCAATCAACTTCTGTATGTACGTAATTGAAATTCTTGACTCTGTTATCATTACAGTACTAGTTAAAAGACAAATCATAAAGCATTTGTATGCAAATATGAATACAGCTGACCGCACGCCTTCATCTTAGTACCATAAAAGGCATAGGTCGGTTTGGTAGCATACAAATTGTTCGAGTGGGCTGACTAAGACAATGTTTAGTACAGTCTAATGACGACAAGTCAGTGGGCGACTCACAAAGAACCACCACCATGAAGTTTATTAAGAAAGGGCTATTACAAAGATTTTGTTACAAGTGGAGATAGTATTAACTGGTATGGGTTAGGTATATTTTTCATTTCAGGACATTAGAAAATACTGTTTATCATTGGACACTTCTAAGAACGAATCACTATGCAAATGCAGTGTTGGAACTAATTGGTCATTAGAAATTCTTAGACAAGTCGTTTTGTTTTCTGTTCCTGTGATGGCTTTCGAAATAAGTATTTATTTTACCGTCTACATAAGTTTTACTTAAAATGTCAATACTAACGGTAAATACTTTATTTGTATACCAGGTCGTAAGATCATTATTATCGTCTTAGTTAAAGTTATCTATTTCCTTTTCGTAATAGTGTCCGTCCGTTTTGCAACAGTCATTGCAATAGACATCGTTACATCCTTCATAACTATTATCTACTTTTACAAATTGTCGTTATCCTTTAATATTCCAAGAATCTCTATTATGCATATTGTTTTCTGCAGAGGTATGAATACATACGTTTAAGCAAGAAGAATTCAAGAAAAAATACGATTCCAATGTTATACAATCCCAGAAATGTTTAGCGGAGACGACATAAATCACAAACATCTGACAAGCCTTCGCGAACATTTCGTTCCGTATAATTGATTGCTTAGTGAAAGTAAAGTGTAACAAAAAGGAAAAATGGAGTGGAATTCAAAATAATTATAGATGTAATCAAAGATAGACAGACAATACGAGAGGGTAGACAATACCGGAGCTATTTGTCACGGCATAGATCAGTTTCTCATTGCACAATCAAAATCTGATGAGATAATGTGGGTTTCAGACCCATTGGACCTTGAATATGATTTCGTATGAAGAGTTGAGAAATTAAGATAGGTATCGTAAATTGAAAAACATTTTGACTTGGAACTGAAGCAAACGATAAAAGAAACAAAATATTTAGAAAGTAAAATTCGCAGCACAGATAATCACGTGAATCATAAGCGGAATATGGATTGGATACGTTTTGCAGTGATAGCTTTGTAACGTTAAAACTTACTGGCAGCTGTCATAGTTTCCCTGGGCGGGAGAAGTCATTGGATGATTTTCCCCTGACAAAAAAAAAAAGCTGTCATAATTTGTCAGCTTCGAGGCACAAACTAATAATTTTTTTTCTCCTGTATACCAGCTGTGTACGATGAGCTGGTTGGTCAAGGTAAACAGGCGAAGTAAGGGTTGAGTTTGTACCAATAATGAACCGTAGAGGACTCATTGGGAATTTGAACACGATGTCTCGACATGATTGACTAATCTACACATAAGGGCAGATCCAGACAAGTTACCTTAGTGAGCTGCGAATTACAAAACATGCAGAATATTTTCCCAACGAGGACGAAAGAACTGTCTATATTCTACCTGGGACCGGTTGCATCGCCCACTGTGTGAGTCATCCAGGTGGGTTCGCGTGATGTAATGATAGGCTCAGTGCATGTTACGTCTGCACGTAGGTGTGAGATGCATTTAGTATGCGAAATGTAAATTATTGTTGACATTGGGATGAGCTAGCATTGCTGTAATATTCGATGATTGTAATATAAGATTAGATTGGATTAGGAATGTGTAAAAATCTGGTTGTTAAAAATGCACTGTAATCGCTAGCACTAACATCTTTGTAGCCTATTGCAAGATTGACATCTACAAATGCTCTTATGCTGCAGTCAACAAAAATTTAATTATTTCTGGGCTGTAAACCCCACAATACAAGATTGTTATAATGTGGAAATATTTTAGTCACAAAAAACTAAATCAATCGTTCATTGTTTGTGGTGCTCAGTAACTACTCACTCATAAATAATGTAGCAAGTGCTTAAAACAATACCCGACATACTTTGGTGTTGACGCGAGGAACACTGAGAGAAGTGTCAGGTTCAATACAGAATGCTCTTTGTTATGCTATTGGAAAGTACAATTATTATGGTACATGCTGCATAATTGGCATATCATCATACTTAGTTTCCATTACTGAGATATCTTCATCGACATTTTTAGTCATTCCACTTTATTAATTTTACTAGAAATTATATTTTATAGTTTCAACATAAAAGTGGACAGCATCTCGAACGATTAACTTTGTTAGTTTCTCAGAATTAGATACGTTTTTAACACCAGCATCGTCGGAAATGTCATCAACATTAAGTAACACTATACTAAATCCAAAATCTTCTTTAATCTTTTTTACTAAAAACAGTTTTAAAGTAAAATGGGTCACCATTTAAAAGCAGTGTAAGGTTTCAATTACAGTTGCTCGCCTGATCGCAGTCCGCATACAGTCAGTCGCATGCGGATAATGTTGCCGGCTGACCTAATATAAAGTTTCTTGTATAATTGTACTATGTAGGTATGGGAATGCACTTAGCTAGTCTTTGAATGGATCAGCATAGTATTGTGGAGAAATACAATACTTTTAAGTAGGTATAGCAAATATTTTTTGTTTTTATAATAACTATCGTGAGACATACTAAATTAACTAAAATTCGCGGGTTACTCACGTGTAAATGTTGAGAAAAGCTCTACTAGTTAGTGTTAGCGTGTAGTACGACGTCGCCGCGTCCGCGCACGCTGCTCATGAGGAAGAACCCCTCTGTGGTTCGAAACTAGTAGAGCTTTTCTCAACATTTACACGTGAGTAACCCGCGAATTTTAGTTAATATTTTTTGTATTCTATGCACAATCAATATATATATGGTCTTTGAAAACACTACAATAGTTACGAAAGAAGTAGTATTTGAAGGTAATAATCGCAATAAATTCTTATAAAGATACAGTGAGCGTCGGTCGTCCACCTGAGACCAGCAGTCGGCACTAAAACAATCGATTACAATCTGCTGTAAACTAGATTACACCCCTCGTTTCCATCGATGCAACTGATGCAGGTAACAGGTTTAGAAGCCGGTCGATGGCGACGCTCAGAGCTATTCGCTCAATGATCCTCAATCAAGCTAACAACATAGTCACGACACCCTGTGGTTATCGATACTAGAGATATGAATCGATTACAAAATCGAGTGGGCGAATCACCACTACTAGTGGCCGGTTCTGTGCGAATAACTGTGCCAGTTATGACATGTAAACTGTAATATTTCTTTATACAACATCTAAGATTATAATTGGCAGTAGACGATTGATCTTTACAAAATATTACTCATCTAAGTTAATCTGGAAGCCAACCAACGTCCTTAGGATAGATTTGTGATAGGAGTGGGCGATGCATCGATTCCGTATCGATATTTCCAATAGACACTTATAGTATAAATGGGATCGTAAAGCCTTTTAAGGGATTAACTGAAGTGTCGTGGGCTTCTTTATACGATAGGGTTTAACGAGGCGAGTATCTAGAAAAGCACTTAGGAATGAATTGTTATTAATTCTATAGTTGGAATGTTGGTAGATATTTGCGAATCCATTTGGAAGGCAATTTGAAAAGAAACAATGAAAATGGTCTAATTCTTGGTCCCGTAATGCGTGTTATAAAATGGCCTATTCCTAACAGACATTGTTAGCTTGATATTTATGTCCTTCATCTTACTTAGTATTTTAAAGTAAATAGTTGTCAATTGTTCCATTGACTGCACAGTCACCAATCTAGATAGAATGGTTCAAACAGATAAAATTTTAATTCAATATAAGTAAGGCTAACAAGAACTGGATCAGTAATATGTATGGTTCAAAGAAACCCACTTAGGTACTTAGTCAGTTCGTCACGTAGTAAATCTACGTCACATTTAAATACTAGGCTAGTTAATGTTTGTAATTTTATTAGACATTCATATCATGGTAGGAGGAGAGTCAATGACGTGTCAATCAATTGAGAATACATGGCCATGCAAATGATAATTCACACACTATTATAAAGATTGATTACATAGACTTTTATTATGACTTTGTGAGAATGGTACACGACACGACCGAAGAAGATATTTAATTTCTTTTTGTGTATATGCTGTATGAATGATAGAGTAGCTTAATTAAAAAAAGTATCGTAATCTTTTAACCATGTACTAATGAATTACTGATCAGTATTAATCCTATCGATAAAGATATCACTATACTAGTGGGTAGTGACTAATTACGACAGCATACCACCGCGATGCCAACTATTTGACCGCTCGTGACGCATGATCAAGTAGACATGATCATCCACCGGATTCCAGAGCCTGATAAGCATGCTGATTAGTAATTTAATTTTACCACTATAGAAGAGTTAGATGAAATCGGATACTTGTTGCATCAAATTGACATGATAGAAGCAAACATATCTACGACATACAGAGAAAATAAAAAGTAATTAGTACTGTTTAGATAAAGTTTAAAATCGAATACACGAGCAACAATAACCAGCAAGTAAGAGATCTAGGATTAAGAGTTTCATCTACTAAACAAGACTAAGAACACATAAATAAACA